TGCTTGACGAATAGCCGGTTGTACAAGTCTCTATAGTAATTGGCATAATTTTTTAAAAATATATTTTATTGATTTTACACAGAGGAATTGAGAGGGACAGAGAGTTAGAAACATCGATGAGAGAGAAACATCGACCAGCCGCCTCCTGCACCCCCCCCCACGGGATGTGCCCGCAACCAAGGTACATGCCCTCGACCCGAATCGAACCCGGGACCTTTCAGTCTGCAGGCCAACGCTCTATCCACTGAGCCAAACCGGTCCCGGCAGTAATTGGCATAATTATTGAGTGCCTATCATAAGCCAGACATAAGTAATAGAGGTTTTAAATAAGTGAATTCTTTTCAGATCACTCTGTAAGGTAGTTATATCTATATATATTCTCATGAGCGAAAACTGATGAGTAGTTTAAGGTCACGCACCAACCATTTGAGCTAATCAGACTGGCTTCAAAGCCAGAGATTATGCAATGGTTATGATATCATAACCATTAAGGATGAGATTAGAGAATGCAGAATGAGATACCAAGAATAAGGGCTTCAGGTTCCTAGTGGGCAATTCATGAGTCACAGAAGGAAAGTTGAAAGTCTCACTCTGGACCTCGGGCTGTTGGTAGTTTGGCAGATGCATACCTTTAAAAAAAAAAAAGATTATGTTTTTGTTGATTTTTAGATAGAGAGGAAGGAAAGAGAGGGAGATAGAAACATCAGTGAGAGAGACATTGATCAGCTGCCTCCTGCACGCCCATTACTAGGGATGGAGCCCACAACCCAGGCATGTGGCCCTGACTGGGAATTGAATCCGGAGCTTCTTGGTCCATGGAATGACGCTCAATCCACTGAGCTACACCAGCTAGGCAGCAGATGCATACTTAAAATTCAAAACCTACTCTGAAGTTCTGGGAATATAAGAGGGAACAAGACAGAAATGATCCCAACCTTCCATTTGTATCTGAAAAACTCCCAGAAACATAGTGCAAATGGGCAAAAGGCATTGGTGCTAATGGGTGGTACATGGATGTGGAAGTTACCAGCTCTGGAAAACGGAATTGTTTAGGGAGGGAAAAGTTTCCTAGAGAAGGAGAATTGAGCCAGAATTAGGAAACACACCAAGGGGAGAACAATTCATTATAGATATACTTCAAAGGGAAAAGGATGGAGTGAGGAGAGGTAATCAATGCACATACACCTGGGTAAACATTCCACACATTATTTGTACAAGTTGTGAAGGATAGTTTTTAGACAGCTGATCCGGGACACTTCCAGTAGGAAGTGGACTACAAGCTAAACTTGGTCTCTACCTTCTCTCTTGGGTCCATGATGCTTCTCCTTCAGTTAGCTTTCCAGTGAAAGAGGTTTATGTTTATCTCCAGGTGACAAACAATGCTCTCCGGCTGCCCTCTGCCTCGGTGTTGCTCCCCTGCCGCCCATTCCTCACCTCTGTGGCCCTTAGTGCCAAGTTTGTGTCCTGGAAAAGTCGTACCACGTATACCATTGCCCCACTGAAAAAGAGGAAATCTGGAGGCCGAGACCACACAGGTGGGAGCACGGGCAAGAGGACCTAAACAATAAAGGGAAAAAGCATGGTCGGACTCTCGTTCTGTATGTTGGTGCAGGCAGAGGAATACCATTAAAACACATTTATTGGATTTCTTCTCCATGTAGGATGAGTATAAGAACAAGAGTAGAATACAAAGCAGCAGGCAGGTGGTCTGTGCAGCTAAAGGCAATCTAAATAATTGAAGAAAACTGAGCAAGTTTCATGACATTTTTCTTCATGTGCATTAAAAAATTGGTAACAGTTGAAATTGATAATGGCTCTCAATAAACTTACTGAATTTAGTAATTTATAGAGAATCTATCTGGAAGTTTTATACAATTTTAATAATCACATAATTACATTTTTACCAAGGTCCATATGTTTCCTCATTCCCATTTATCCCATTGTGCTGTGGAATTTTTAATGATTTTCTGCTTGACTTATAATGTTTAGAAACACTGCTCTCTGCCTAGGACAGGCCTGTTATTCTGACGTGGATTCTGTCCCCTCCCTGTCCTGACCGTAGGCCGGATCCGAGTGCATGGCATCGGTGGGGGTCACAAGCAGCGTTATCGCATGATTGACTTTCTCCGGTTCCGGCCAGAGCAGGAAACCAAGCCAGGACCCTTTGAGGAGAAGGTCATCATCGTCCGCTATGATCCCTGTAGGCAAGTGGGATGTGGGGTGATGATGGCCCGACTGAATGACTACTCTGTGGCTTTTCAGAAACGTGGGGCTGCCTGGATGGTCTGCTCATCTGTCACTCACCCTGAACAGGTCAGCAGACATAGCTCTGGTTGCTGGGGGCAACCGAAAACGCTGGATCGTTGCCACGGAAAACATGAAGGCTGGAGATATAATCCTTAATTCTGACCACATAGGCCGCATGGCAGGTGAGAGGGGACCACCGGATGTGTGTGGGCTGGGAGGCCGCATTCGGTGGCTGATGAAATTCTGTCTTTCAGTTGCTCCTCGGGAAGGGGATGCACATCCTCTTGGGGCCTTGCCCGTGGGGACCCTCATCAACAGTGTGGAGAGTGAGCCAGGCCGGGGGGCCCAGTATATCCGAGCCGCAGGTATGGAGAAAGCTGCTCGGGAGGGACGGGTCTTACATTTTGGAAGACCAGGTGGTACCCATGGTCACAATTCTCTGAAACAAAGACCCACATTGGGTCCATCGGCAGAGGAAAAGGAGGACAAACGAGGAAAACGAGGATGAAGAAGTGCTTATGATTTGACCTAAAACACTGCATGCATCCTGCTCCAGTTTATATGCTCCTAAAGGGGTGTGGCCCCTATAAGCCTGCCCCTCACCCCCTCCTCTGTGGAGGGCGGCAAAACTGCTGCTTCTCCCTTCTGCAGGGACGTGCGGTGTGCTGCTGCGAAAGGTGAACGGGACAGCCATCATCCAGCTGCCTTCTAAGAGGCAGATGCAGGTGTGTGTGGGGTACAGGTGGGAGGGATCAGCAAAGGAGGAATTTTTGGAATGCACCTTTCCTGGCCCACATAGCTCCCAGGTGTTTTATGTCAGGCACTGCCCTGAGCTGGGGCTGCCCTTTGGGCTGCATGAGGGAATAACCAGTCAGGTTGGCACCATGATGGCACAGAGAACAGTGTCTTTTGTTTTCAACTCCTGTAGGACCTGCACTCAGGTTCAGTGATGCCGTGCTGCTCCCCTGTCCTCTCCCTTCTCATGGAAGGACCTTCCCAAGAGTCCTACCCTCAACATGGTCAGACTCTTGCCCCCGACAATACTCTCTCTTCCCTCTGCTTTCTCTGTCAGGTGCTGGAAACGTGCATAGCGACAGTAGGCCGAGTATCCAACGTTGATCATAACAAACGGGTCATTGGCAAGGCTGGGCGGAACCGCTGGCTGGGCAAGAGGCCTAACAGCGGGCGATGGCAGCGAAAAGGGGGCTGGGCTGGCAGGAAGATTCGGCCACTGCCCCCAATGAAGAGTTATGTGAAGCTGCCCTCAGCTGCTGCCCAGAACTGATATCTCCAGACTCTAATAAAATGACGCCCATTTTTATCTGTCGTTGGTGTTTTGTGCAGGGATATGGCACATATTGGACAGAGCAAACTTATTTGGGGGAGAAAGGGAAGGGCAATATAGGGCAAAGACTGCAGCTGCGACCTCACAGCCTCCAGCCGCCCCCCTTCTTGGTTCCTTCCTAGATAATGGAGGAGGGGGTGATAAATGACCTCCAAGGCCTTACCCTGTTACGACTTGGGGAAACGGGGAAGGTACTTCCGGTGGCAGGAGGAAGGGCGAAAGGAAGAGGAAAGGGCGGCCGGGCAGAGAAAGAGGTGCAGCTCCGCTGAGGTGGCAGCCGCGGCCCCGCCCCCGCGCTCTCCCGGGGCCCCTGGCTTCAGGAAATGAGCCGAGGCCCGGGACAGGTGGCAGAGCCCCCAGCCGGGCGGGTGGCACCCAGGCGGGGACCCGCCCCGCCCCTGGGGCTGCAGACCTGGCAGCGGTGTCGGCTCGGTCCCCACGCCACGCCCCTGCCTGACGCGGTGCTGCGGGGCACGCCCCCTCCCGCTCTCCATCTCGACCCCCTTCGGGGGCCCAAATCTCTGCCAGCCAGCGTGGCCGCCATCGCCATCGCCATCGCCATCACCATCGTCGGCGCGCCCCTAGCTCAGCGAACGGGCCTCACCGGGAGCTCCATCCGCTGCTGAGGTGGCCAGAGCCCCACCGCGGCTCCGCGCCCCGCTCCGGGTTTGCCCCCGCGCCCAGCCCACCGAGCCTTGCTCTCCACACCGGCCCGGGATTCTGGTTTATGCTGCCCAGCCACCCACCCCTCCTTGTCGGCTCCCACCTCCCAGCTCCTCCCGCCGGTCCTCCCAAGTTCCGCGCCCCTCACGCACCCGGCCTCCTCCCCATCTTGTCCTGGGCCTTGTTGCCCCCGCGGGCCTTGCTGCTCCGGTGCCTGCAGTCATCTGTGCCTGCAGCCCACCGGGCCTCCTCCCAGGCCTCCCGCCTTGCACCCTCCTCCACCACCAGTTCTCTTTCCTCTGCGACTCACTCACACTCCTGTGCTTCCAGCATCGGAGCCAGCACCGCTCCTCATACACACTCAGTGTCGCTCCCCAGCCCCACTCCCCAACACAGCCCTCTGGGCTGCACAGGCCCCCTTCCCAGCGCTGACTCCACCTGTCCCAGGACCCTAGGGTTCCCCTGTGACTCTAAGATTGCTCAGCCCCCACTCCCCTTCCCAATGCTCTAAACCGACCCATTCCAGGCTGCAGGGCCTTAGGCCCCCTCCCTTTTAGCCCCCACATTTTGTTTTCTCACAACAAACGCCCCACTATTCCTCTGCTTAAGCCTGGCCCCGCCTTTACCCACCCGGCCCAACAGCTGGTGCCACTTTTGCGTCCCTTCTGGATGTCCTTGATTTTCTGACCTCTCTTCTCACTCTCGCGGGCCTTTTCTCTTTTCCTCGTTTGTCCCAGGCGCCAGGATGGTCGGGGAACTCCGCTACAGGGAATTCAGAGTGCCCCTGGGGCCCGGCTTGCATGCCTATCCTGACGAGCTGATCCGCCAGCGATTGGGCCATGATGGGCACCCAGAGTACCAGATCCGCTGGCTCGTCCTCCGGCGTGCAGAGGATGAGGAGGGGGGCTCCAGTCAAGTGGACTGCAAGGCGGAGCACATCCTGCTGTGGATGTCCAATAACGAGATCTACGCCAACTGCCACAAGATGCTGGGCAAGGACGGCCAAGTTGTCTGGCCTTCCCGGGAGGCTGCGCGGGAGGCTGGGGCCCTGGACAAGTCTGTGCTGGAGGAGATGGAAACCGATGTGAAGTCCCTGATTCAGAGGGCCCTTCGGCAGCTGGAGGAGTGCACGGGCACCACCCCTCCTGCTCCCCTGCTTCACACTGTGCACGTGCTCAGCGCCTATGCCAGCATCGAGCCCCTCTCTGGGGTCTTCAAAGACCCGCGGGTCCTGGATCTGCTCCTGCACATGCTGAGTAGCCCGGATTATCAGATCCGCTGGAGCTCCGGCCGGATGATCCAAGCCCTGGCCTGCCACGATGCCGGTGAGGAGCAGTGTGGGGAGGAAGGGAGAGCAGGAGAACGGCTGGGTCAGCTTAGGGCCGCTCAGGGGCCTCTGACCTCATCACTACGTAAATGACCTGTTGCACTTCTCTCATAGTTGGAAGAGGGGGTGGGGTGGTGGGTGGGAGCACCTCTACAGAACGAGGAAAGACTGAGTCCCCAGTACCTCATATGAATTGGCTGTCTAGGCAAAGGAAGTTCAGACTGTAGACTCTTTTTTTTTTTTTTTTTTTTGGTTTTTCAGAGAGGAAGGGAGAAAGGGAGATAGAAGCATCAATGATGAGAGACAATCATTGATTGGCTGCCTCCTGTATGCCCCCTACTGGGGATTGAGCCTGCAATCTAGGCATGTGCCCTGACTGGGAATTGAACCCAGGACCCTTCAGTCTGCAGGCCGATGCTTGATCCACTGAGCCAAACCAGCCAGGGTTAGACTTTAGACTTGCAGGATGTGTGTGTGTGTGTGTGTGTGTGTGTGTGTGTGTGTGTGTGTATATATATTCATTCATATATATGAAAAGGCAAATCATGTCATTCCTAGTATATGGTGGAAAAAGGATTGGACATAGGAGGTCCAAGAGAGATGCCTGGGAAAGTTAAGGTTAGGGAGCAGTTACTGATTGGGGTGTGGGTTACAGGCACCCGGACCCAGATTCTCCTGTCCCTGAGCCAGCAAGAGGACATTGAGAAACACCTGGATTTTGACAGCCGCTGCGCCCTGCTGGCTCTGTATGCACAGGCCACACTCTCCGAACACCCCATGTCTTTCGAGGGCATTCAGCTGCCACAGGTATTGTCGGGGGCATTGGGGATGGAACTATGAAGGTCTAGCAGCCAGGACTTTACACCTGTCCATAGAGCCATGGTTGGCAAACTGTGGCTCGTGAGCCACATGCGGCTCTTTGGCCCCTTGAGTGTGGTTCTTCCCCAAAATACCATGGCCTGGGCGAGTCTATTTTGAAGAAGTAGCATTAGAAGAAGTTTAAGTTTAAAAAATGTGGCTCTCAAAAGAAATGTCAATCGTTGTGCTGTTGATATTGGGCTCTGTTGACTAGTGAGTTTGCCGACCCCTGCCATAGAGGATGGTGTGGAGGGAGGGGCTAACGCTGGGACTGAGTGGACAGAGGCCAAAGATTGTGTCCTACAGATCCCAGGAAGGCTGCTCTTCTCCCTGGTGAAGCGCTATCTGCATGTCACCTCCCTCCTGGATCAGCTGAATGACAGCGCTGCAGAACCAGGAGCCCGGAACAGCTCTGCTCCTGAGGAGCTGAGCAGGGAGAGGGGTCGGCTGGAATTGGAGTTCAGCATGGCCATGGGCACCCTGATCTCAGAGCTGGTACAGGCCATGCGCTGGGACTGGGCCTCCAGCAGACAGGGGCCCTTGGCTCAGTCTTCCGGTTCCATCTTCCAGCCCCAGCCGGCAGATGCCGGCCTAGGGCTGCCGCCCGCCCAGGCCCAGGCCTCCCTCAGGAGGCCAACGTGGTTTCGCCCTCGCTCTGAGTTCGCAAGCGGCAACACCTATGCCTTATATGTGCGGGATACCCTGCAGCCGGGGATGCGGGTGCGGATGCTAGATGATTTCGAGGAGGTCAGTGCCGGGGAAGAGGGCAAGTTCCAGCAGAGCAACAATGGCGTGCCCCCTGTGCAGGTGAGCGAGCGCGTGGCGGGGGGGACACTCATGGGCATCCTATTGGGTGGCGCATAGTTGGGGCCTCCATGCAGGAGGCTGGCAGGCCACCCAAGGAGAAAACCCACGAGGGAATTGAAATGGTCAAAGCGTGGTCTATTGAGAAGGGGCCATTTGGAAGGCTGGAAAAAATCCGGGTTTAGAGGCCTCTGAGGTCAGGAAGACTCCCAGGAAGGTAACTGATGCAGCCAGACTTCCCCAAAGGGCCCAGGAGTCAGGGCAGTTGAGGACGGGAGGAAGAGTAAGGGCATAAGCCATCAAGTTCGGGTGAGAGGAGAGGCAGGGCCAGTGCCAGTACGGAAGGCTGTGTCCACGCTCTCCATGTGCCAGTGTTTTGGCCAGGGGGTCACCTGAGGGTCCTCATCACCCGGCCACAGCCAGCCGTTCAGTGAGCTTTCTGTCCCCCTGTCTCCTCTTTCCCCGTGTTCTTCCAGGTGCTGTGGGAATCGACTGGCTACACCTATTGGGTACACTGGCACATGCTGGAGATTCTGGGCTTTGAGGAAGAGGACGTGGCTGAGGCCGATGAGTACCGGGGGGCAGCGCGCAGTGGCGCCCGGGGTGGAGGTGAGCCCGGAGAGTGAGCCGGAGTGAGCTTGGAGCGCGGGAGCAGTGGTCTGGCTGGACGGGCGGCGACCCTTGCGCCCTGTGCCCCGCTTCCACAGCCCTGCCCTCCTGCCGATGGAAGCCCATGGCGGAGCTCTATGCCGTGCCCTATGTGCCGCCTGAGGATGAGGGCGCGGAAGAGAGCGAGCACCTGACCCAGGCCGAGTGGTGGGAGCTCCTCTTCTTCATCAAGAAGCTGGGCGGACCCGGCCACCGGGAGGTTCTCCAGATCCTCCAGGAGAACCTCGATGGGGAGGTAGACCTCAAAGCTGGAGGGCTGTCCTGGGCTGAGGGAGGGCTCCGAGGGGACATGGAGGTGGACGGTGGAAGGGGCTGCAGGGGAGCCATCTAAAATGTGCGGACGTGTTGGCGCGTCGTATGGGAGATGCCAGCTGCCAGCCGTGACAGGCTCAGGATGGGAAAAGCATATGCGGAGACCCCTGCCCCTACCCCGTCCCCCGAGCCTCTGTGCTAGCAGGACTGCCCGCGGTGAGAGCTTCTCCCGATGGCAGGTCCTGGATGACGAGATCCTGGCTGAGCTGGCCGTGCCCGTGGAGTTGGCCCAGGACCTGCTGTTGGCTCTGCCAGAGCGCCTGGATGACAGCGCGCTCAGGGACCTGCTCAACTGCCGTGTCTACAGGAAATATGTGCCCGAGGCCCTGGCAGGGGAGCCGGCTTACCCATCCCTGCTGGAAGCCCAGGCCCAGCCTCAGGAACCAGCAGATGCAGCCAGCATGGAAGGTGGGGCATCAGACAGACAGCCTGAGCCCCGGAGACGTCGGTGCTGAGTTTTGTGCGATCCTGTCCCCGGAGAGGTGGCCCCGAGGGAGAAGCTGAAACTTAAGAGATGAGCAGCAAATAAGAGAAGCAGGCGTTGTGCGCCCTCCATAGAATGAAGGGGGATGTAAAGTTGGGAAATTGAAAGAGTTTAAAGCCTGGAAACCCACCCTCCACATTTTTCCTAGTGTAGAGAAAAACTGTTACCTGCTTTTATTTTTTTATTTTTATTTATTTATTTATTTTTAAAATAAAAAATATAGTTTATTGATTTTTTACAGAGAGGAAGAGAGAGGGATAGGTAGTTAGAAACATCGATGAGAATCATTGATCAGCTGCCTCTTGCACACCCCCCACTGGGGATGTGACCGCAACCAAAGTACATGCCCTTGACTGGAATTGAACCCAGGACCTTTCAGTCTGCAGGCCGACGCTCTATCCATTGAGCCAAACCGGTTTCGGCTGCTACCAGCTTTTAGATATAGGGAAATGCTCTGCTCTATGGGAATGGGAAGCTCCTTTGCCATTTTAAGGGCCTAAAATATAAGATTTGTCATGAAGCTGTCATAAGTACATTGTGAGATGTTATGAGACCTTAACACCAAGGGGACAAAGCAAATAAGAAACATTTCTAAAAGAAATTAGGAAACAAGATTGAGAGTTAGGAATTGGTCCTTTTCTGATCCTTCACAACACTGACGGTGGCCAACCCTGTGACTTCCCTCGTCCTGCAGAAAAAGACCCTCTGCCGCAGCCCCCCCGCAGCCCCCTGCGGCGCCTGGTGGAGGGCTATGGGCCCGCCGGGAAAATTGTCCTGGACCTGGAGCAAGCCCTCAGCGCGGAGGGGACCCAGGAGAGCGAGGTCAAGTCGCTGCTGCTGCTACTGCAGCAACAGCCCCAGCCCTTCCTGGTGCTGATGCAGAGCCTGGACACTCCAGCGGCCAACAGGGCCCTGCACCTGGCCGTTCTGAGGTGATGTGGTTATAGGTGGGGGAGGGGGGGGTCAGAGGGGTCTCTGAGACTCGCTGCATATCTCTCCCCCCACCCCTGCTCCCCAGAGTCCTGAGGCGGCTAGTGGACTTCCCTGATGCGCTGCTGCTCCCCTGGCATGAGGCTATGGACGCCTTCGTGGCCTGCCTGCGGTCCCCAGACACTGACCGAGAGGTACCCCTGCCCTGCCCTGCCCTGGGGGGATGCTGAAGGCAGAGGACGGATGGACAGAGGATGGATGGACACCTGAGTGGGGCTCTGAAGGGCACAGTGGGGCATTGTGCCCTTGGATTGGGTTTGGGTTTAAAATTGAATTCTCTTCCTTTTTTTAAAATATATTTTATTGATTTTTTTACAGAGAGAAAGGGAGAGGAATAGAAAGCTAGAAACATCGATGGGAGAGAAACATCAATCGGCTGCCTCCTGCACACCCCCTACCGGGGATGTGCCCGCAATCAACGTACTCGCCCTCGACCAGAATCGAACCTGGGACCTTTCAGTCCGCTGGCCGATGCTCTATCCACGGAGCCAAACCGGTTTCGGCTGAATTTTATTTCTTTAAAGGTGTAATATATTCACAAGATTCACAGATCAAAACGATATAATAAGCTATATACTGAACTCTCACTCCCACCCGAATCCGATATATCCTTCCTGTGTTTCCGTATGCAAATATGAACAAACCCCAATGTGTGATCTGATTTGCCAGCTCCTTTTTTACCCAAGAGGGTCTGTCCATATGACATTAAGAGCCTCAGTGGGTAAAGGAAACGGAGGAGACCATCACATCCCTGAGTCTCCTGCCACAAAGACATCCTGGGCACAGAGGCTTGCGAAGGGCCAGAGAACGAGGGTCCAGCCGAAACCGGTTTGGCTCAGTGGATAAAGCGTCAGGACTGAAAGGTCCCAGGTTCGATTCCGGTCAAGGTCATGTACCTGGGTTGCAAGCACATCCCCATTAGGGCCTGTGCAGGAGGCAGCTGGTCGATGTTTCTCTCTCATCGATGTTTCTAACTCTCTATCCCTCTCTCTTCCTCTCTGTAAAAAAATCAATTAAAAATTAAAAAAAAAGAACGAGGGTCTTGGTGGCAGTGGGTGTCAGCAGCATACACCTTGGTGGGTGGACTCTCTGTGTGCACACACACACACGCTGGTCCCTCTGGGCCCCCTCCCTGCCGACAGGTGTCTGCTTAGGGCCTGAGGATCTCAAAATGGGACAGTTGGGCCTGAAAAGAACACGCTGCGGTGCTCTCTGCACCTGCTGCAAACGTAGTCAGGAGCTGAGAACGCCAGGGGTGGGGGCAGAGCACCTCCTGGCTTTTCCATTTCAGTTTGTCTTGGGTTCTCTCACTCCACCCAGCCCTCGCGTCTGCCCCATCCTGCATTTCACTTCCTCACTCTGCCTTGTTCCCTGCAGGAGCCCCAGCACCCAGCACACAGGGGGCGTACAGTGACCACTGCGGCGGGTGCCCCCGGGGCCTGTGCCGTGTCCCCTTTACTCACTCACCCGCCCACACCCCAGGTGCTCCAGGAGCTGGTCCTCTTCCTGCACCACCTGGCCTCGGTGAGCAGGGACCATGCCGTGGTGCTGAATCAGCTGGGAGCCCGAGATGCCCTCTCCAAGGTTCTGGAGAAGCACCTGGGGAAGCTGGATCAGGCCCAGGAGCTGCGGGACATGGTGTTCAAGTGTGAGAAGCATGCCCACCTGTACAGGAAACTCACCACCAACATCCTGGGAGGCTGTATCCAGGTCAGCGGGAAGGAGGGGAAGCCTGTGGGTGCACAGATGGTGAGAACGTGACACCCGAGCCGTGGAGGGGAGGGGCTGTTTCTGACGCTGGAAGGTGAGGCTAGGGGACCCGGGGGCTTTGTTCTCCGCACGTCTGCCCTGTGGACCTACCCTGCCCGAGTCACAGAGCAAGTCCCACGGCTGCGGGGCCTTTCTCCATGCGTGCTCCTTGTTTCTCCGTGTCCCTCCCGCTCCGTGTGCCCCTTCTCTCTGACACTCCGGCTGCAGATGGTGCTGGGCCAGATCGAAGACCACAGACGAACCCACCGACCCATCAACGTCCCCTTCTTTGACGTGTTCCTCCGATATCTGTGCCAGGGTCCGTGCCCGTCCGCATGCCCCCGTACCTATGACTGTTTTCCCTCCGCATCTACCAGCCTGTGACCGCCACCCCCTCCCCCCGCCCCCAGGCTCCAGTGTGGACGTGAAGGAGGACAGGTGCTGGGAGAAGGTGGAGGTGTCCTCCAACCCGCTCTGGGCCAGCAAGCTGACCGACCGCAACCCCAAGACCTACTGGGAGTCCAACGGCAGCACCGGCTCCCACCACATCACCGTGCACATGCGCCAGGGCGTCCTCGTGCGGTAACCGGCTCCCTGCACACGCGTGGCCTCACCTACGCCTGCTCGCGGCTTCCGTGTTTGTCTTGGGGGAAACACCATCCCCGTGAACATGACCGAAGGGTCCCCTTGGCTCTGTCTACAAGGAAATGACTGGTTCCAGTTCCAACCGGTTCCCCTCCCCTGCTCCCAGGCAGCTGACTCTGCTGGTGGCCGGCGAGGACTCGAGCTACATGCCGGCCAGGGTGGCGGTGTTCGGGGGCGACAGCACCAGCTCTCTGAACACGGAGCTCAATGCGGTAGGGACCCCGGTGCCACTGGGCCACCCCTCACAGAATCAGCCCTCCTGCCCAGACCTCTACCTTCCTCCCTGCCTTGTGCCCTGTAGAAAGCAGAGGCCTTTATCCCTGTGTCTCTGTGATGGCCTCAGGCCCTGAGCAGTGAGGGTGGCATCAGCACCCTTCCATCAGGACCCCCCCCGCGTCCTGGTCCGGGGAAGGGAGGGACACTGTGAGGGATGGGAAGAGACTGTGTGCTCTCAGCACGCTCGTCCCCGCATGGAGGTGCCAGCCCCCCCTGCCCCTACAGATCAATGTGATGCCCTCCGCCCGCCGGGTGGTCCTCCTGGAGAACCTCACCCGCTTCTGGCCCGTCATCCAGATCCGCATAAAGCGCTGCCAGCAGGTGGGCAGGGGCGGAGGCGTGGCCCCCGGGCCCCGGGCTCTTGCCCTGCAGCTGATGCAGGTCTTGGGCCAGAGCTCCAGCCCGGGTCGTGGGCAGCTCAGGCGTGAGGCCTGAGGGTGTGGCTGACGGCAGCCCACCCTGAGGGGACTGCGGGCCTTGCAGGGCGGCATCGACACGCGCATTCGGGGGCTGGAGGTCCTGGGCCCCAAGCCCACGTTCTGGCCCGTATTCCGGGAGCAGCTCTGTCGCCACACGCGCCTCTTCTACCTGGTCCGGGCGCAGGCCTGGAGCCAGGGCGTCGCCGAGGACCGCAAGCGCCTGCTGCACCTGAGCTCCAGGTGTGTGTGCGAGCGTGTGTGTGCCGGTGTGTGCGGGAGGTGAGAGGTGACGGGTGGCTGCGGGGCAGGCTCTGGGCGGAGGGAGAGAGGCAGCGTGCGTGGGGAGGGGCTGGAGCGCTCTGCAGTCCGAGGAGAGAAGGAAAGAACCAAGACGAGATTGCTCTGCTGCACGGGGACTGGAATGTGCCCGTCAGCCTGTGGGGGGTTGTCAAGCACACCGTGGGGACTGGGTGCTGGGGGTAACTGGCAGTCTTAGTCTGGGTGGACGCTGGGGCCCCTTACGACACCTCCCTCCTTCCTCCTCGTCCCCAGACTCAACGGGGCTCTGCGCCACGAGCAGAACTTTGCCGATCACTTCCTCCCTGACCACGAAGCTGCCCAAGCGCTGGGCAAGATCTGCTGGGAGGCCCTGATCAGCCCCCTGGTGCAGAACATCACCTCCCCCGGTAACCATCGGACCCCTGACCCCTGACCCCTGACTCTTCACCATCCGGTTGTCGGCCCCACAAACTGGCCTCTTCGTGCTCTACGCTAGATCCTCCCGGGTTCGCTCTCGGCCCTTTTGGGACCTGCGCGTTGATTGGGAAGCCCTGTGCCCCTCTTCTCACAGCCCAGGGGCGCCTCCTTCCCCGTGTCTCTCCGTGCCAGCCGACCCCATAGGATCAGAAGGGGCCTTGCTTTCTCCCTCCCCCGGTCATTCTGTGCGGCTCTTTCTCCCTGCACCAGTCCCGCCGCCCCGCAGACACGCCCGCGTGGCTTCTTTCCTCTGCCCCGCAGACGAGGACGGCACCAGCCCCCTGGGCTGGCTGCTGGACCAGTACCTGGGGTGTCGGGAGGCTGCCCACAACCCTCAGAGCCGCGCGGCAGCCTTCTCCTCGAGGGTGCGCCGCCTCACCCACCTGCTGGTGCATGTGGAGCCCTGTGCGGGGCCCGCTGCGGCGGGGGCCGCTCCTCGGCCCAGTGAGTACCAGGAGTCGCAGGCGGGAGCTCAGGGGGCATTGCCTTGTGTGCGCTCCCTCATCGTATGGCTTTTGTCCCGCCCCCCCCCCAAACCCTCCCTGTGTGCTCATCCTGTTCATCTTCCAAGTGTGTGTCACCCCCCACCCCCACCCCCAGGAGCATCCTTGGGGTGGCAACATGTCAGGGAAGGCCCCTGAGCTCAGCCTTCAGTGGGGACCCAGGAGCTGAAGGGCTGGCCTCACCGTGCCTCCCCCTCCCTGTCTCCACAGAAGGCAGAAACAGAAGCCACGACTGGGGCTCCCTGGCTGCCCCGGGCCTTCCCACCAGCATCACGAAAAACCTGACCGGCTGCTGGGAGGCAGCCGTGGAGGAGCAGGTGGGCTGAGGGGGGGCGAGGGGGCGGGAGGAGCTGTCGGGGTGGGTGGCGTGTTGGGGTGCCTCCTCACGCTGCTGCCCCTTCCCCCAGGTGAACAGTTTCCTGACCTCACACTGGCAGGATGAGGACTTCGTGCCGCGCTTCTGCGAGCACTTCCACCACCTGCAGAGGTCCAGCTCCGAGCTGTTTGGGCCGCGGGCAGCCTTCCTGCTGGCGCTGCAGAGCGGCTGTGCCGGGGCCTTGCTGAAGCTCCCTTTTCTCCGAGCGGCCCACGTAAGCTCCTGCCCTTCCCCACCTCCTCACAGGGGCCTGCCCTGCACCCTGCCCTTCCCATTCCCTAAGCAACATGCACTGGGACATAACCATGTTGTTGTTTAGGCTTTTTTTTTTTTTTTTTTAATATATCTTTATTGACTTCAGAGAGGAAGGGAGAGGGGGAAAGGGAAAAAGAAACATCAATGATGAGAGAAAACCATCGATCAGCTGCCTCCTGCACATCCCCCAATGGGGATCAAGCCCACAACCCAGGCATGTGCCCCTGACCGGAATCGAACCCGGGATCCTTCAGTATGCAGGGTCCATATGTATCCATGCTATCAAAAACTCAAAGAAAAGCCCTGGCCAATGTGGCTCAGTCGGTTGGAGCATCGTCCCATAGACTAAAAGGCCGAAGGTTCCATTCTCTGTCAGGGCACATACTTATGTTTCCGATTTGATCTCCTTTTGAGGACTATACGGGAGGCAACTGATCGATGTTTCTCTCTCACACTGATGTCTCTCTCCCTGTCTCCCTTTCTCTCTAAAATCAATAGACTTTTATGTTTTTTAATTCAAAGAAAAAAACACAGAGACCCGCAGCATGCCGTCCTAATACGTCTCGATAGACCTCCTCCCGTTTGAGTGCATGATTTAACAGTTCACTCATGAGGGCCTAAAATGCCACGTCCTGTTTTCCTTAATCGTTACATTAAAAGCCTTGGCCAGTGTTGCCATCTGCACTCATTTTTCCTTTGTGCCTAAATTCCATGTAATGGATGGACTACAATTTACTCCCGCATTCGCATCATCCCATACATACTTAACAAGCACTTAAAACCCTGTGATAAGGGTTGAAGAAGATAGACCAAGTCCATTCCCTAAAAAATGCACAGTCTCCCAGGGAAGACACGGGATTAAGCGGATGATAAACCAACACGTGGCCGGCTCTCCGGTAAGCACGGAACGCTGCCGAGGGTGCGTGAGGGAGCGGCTGCCGGCGTGGCTTTGGCCGTTGTTTCGTTAGCAGTGCTGCAGTGTGACCGTTTTTGTGCCTATCACTTACGTCCTCATATGAAGTTAGAGTTGCCAGCCCTGGCCAGTGTGGCTCGGTTGGGCATTATCCTGTGCACAGAAAGGTTGCCAAGTTTGATTCCCATTCAGGGCACACGCCTGGGTTTCAGACTCGTTACCCAGTAGGGGGCATGTAGGAGGCAGGCCAGTGATATTTCGCTCTCACATCAATGTTTCTCTCTCTCCCCTCCCTCTCATTAATACAATTGTTAATGACTTTATAAAGCAGTTGTATGGCTCAGCCAGCTCAGTGGTTGAACATTGACCTATGAGCCAGAGGTCACGCTTTAATTCTCTATCAGGGCACATGCCTGGGTTGCTAGCTCCATTCCCAGTAGGGGGCGTGCAGGAGGCAGTCGATCAATGATTCTCTCTTATCATTGATGTTTCTTTGTCTCTCCCTCTCTGAAATCAATAAAAATGTGTTTTTAAAAAAAGTTTTATGGCCGAAACCGGTTTGGCTCACTGGTAGAGCGTTGGTCTGCGGACTGAAGGGTCCCAGGTTCGATTCCGGCCAAGGGCATGTACATTGGTTGTGGGAACATCCCCGGTAGGGGGTGTGCAGGAGGCAGCTGGTCGATGTTTCTCTCTCATCGACGTTTCTAGCTCTCAATCTCTCTCTCTTCCTCTCTGTAAAAATCAATAAAATATATTTTAAAAAAAAGTTTTATGGAAGTGTTGACCAATTTATGAAGCTTTGAGCCATTCATATCTACTGTATCAGACCTCCTCACTGCTCCCACTCATCAGTGGTCGGCAAACCGCGGCTCTCAGGCCACATACAGCTCTAGAGCCACAGTTTGCTGCTCTGTGGACTAATGAGTTTGCCGACCACTACACTAACCCAATCACGGTTTTCCTGGGCTCTTCCGCCCGCCCAGGTGAGCGAGCAGTTTGCCCGGCACATCGACCAGCGGATCCAGGGCAGCCGGATGGGCGGGGCCCGGGGGATGGAGATGCTGGCGCACTTGCAGCGCTGCCTGGAAACCGTCCTGATCTTCTCTGGCCTGGACATAGCCACCACCTTTGAGCATTACTACCAGTGAGTGTGGGCCTCGGGAGTGGGGGTGAGGGGGAGGCAGGCTGACAGAGGCCGGGGCAGCTGGTGGGTCTGGGAGCCTGGGGTTCAGGCAGCCCGAGGCCTGGAGCCGGAGGCTGGGAGTGCCCACACTGAGCCGGGCCTGGGCTGTGTGTGCTGCAGGCACTACATGGCGGACCGGCTCCTGAGCCGGGGCTTCAACTGGCTGGAGGGGGCCGTGCTGGAGCAGATCGGTTCCTGCTTCCCCAGCCGCCTCCCCCAGCAGATGCTGCGGAGCCTGAGCGCCTCCGAGCGGCTGCAGCGCCAGTTCCACCTCTTCCAGCTGCAGCGGCTGGATCAGGAACTCCTGAAGCTGGAGGACATAGAGAAGAAGATACAGGTGGGTGCCCGGGCGGGAGGAGCCGGTGGGAGGTCGGAGAGCAGAGCGGCATGGAGCAGACCGGGGGGAGGCCCTGGCTTTTGGGAACCCTGTGTTCCCTCTTCTGGTGGCCAGGAGGCCAGCGGCAAGGAGCATGAGAGAGCGGGCGGAGAGGACGCCAAGGAAGCCGGGGCCGTGGCAGCTACAGAGGAAGATGAGGATGAGGATGAGAACGAGGACCTCTATTATGAGGGGGCGATGCCGGAGGTGTCTGTGCTGGTCTTGGCACCACGCTGCTGGCCCATGGCCTCCATCTGCCACACGCTGAACCCCAGGACCTGCCTGCCCTCCTACCTGAGGGGCACCGTGAACCGATACTCCAACTTCTACAAGAGTGAGGAGTAGAGCAAAGGAAACGGGGGGGGGGGGGGGGGGGGCCTGGGAAGATGGGATGCTGGGCAGGAGCCTGGGGTCGGGAGGCTTCATGGGGGAGACTTGAGAAGAAAGGGCAGGAGCTTAGGTTTGGGGGAGGGGGGGGCAATCAGGCACTAGATTGCCAAACCATTGCCTTCTTAGCATAAGACCCAGCTCCTTTAGTGGGCGGTGAGGAGGAAGGAGGCAGGGGGGCACTGAGGCCGCCAGAAGGCTCTCTCTCTCCCTCAGGGGTAGGTCAGTCACTGAACCTCAGCTCCCACTGGGGCTGACCCTGGGCTGGGCTGTGACACGGGAGGGGGAGGAGACTCAGACCTACCTTCAGGGGGTCCCAGACTAACCAGGGAGACGTTGTCCTCTGTCTCAGGGGGATTCCAGGTGATGAGAGCCCCTGCGCTTCTTTACTTGGTGGTTTTGTCTACAAAATGGGACTCCTTGAAGGCGCCGATCAGAGCCTGCCTTTGTACAGGGCTAGGCACGCGGTAGGCTCCCCTAGGGGGAAGCACAGAAGGCTGAGCTCCGGAAGACTCAGGCCAGGAACCAGCGTCCACAAATGCTGGGCCACACGCTCTGCAATTAGTGGGGCCAGAGCTTAACCAACAGTGTGCCGACCCCCTCCACCTCCCTGATGCTTCTCAGGTCAGAGCTCCCCTGCCCTGGAGCAGGGCCCGCAGAGGCGGCTGCAGTGGACGTGGCTGGGCCGGGCCGAGGTGCAGTTTGGGGACCAGACCCTGCATGTGTCCACCGTGCAGATGTGGCTGCTGCTGTATCTCAACGACCTGAAGGTGGCCCTGCTGTCGGCTCCTCCCCCCTGCTCTCTCCCCTCATCTCTCATTTCCCCCCCCCAAACTTTAACTCCCATCCTGCTCCCCTCCACCTCTCCGCTCCACCCCGGGAGGGAGCCTGAGTGTTCCCTCCCCTTCTCCAGGCGGTCTCTGTGGAGAGCCTGCAGGCCCTCTCGGGGCTCTCTGCAGACATCCTCCATCAGGCCATTGGGCTTCTCACCTCCTCACGAGGCCCCCTGGACCTTCACGAGCAAAAGGATGTCCCAGGAGGTGTGTGCTTGGGGCAGAGGGGTCTGAGCCAGGCCGGCCTGGCCGTGGGCCACCGCCCGAGTGACTACTGCTCGTTTCAGGTGTGCTCAAGGTTCGAGAGGACAGCGAGGAGCCCAGGCCAAGGAGGGGCAGCGTGTGGCTCATCCCACCTCAGCCGTACCTGAAAGCTGAGGATGAAGAGGGCCGGAACCTGGAGAAGAGGCGGAACCTTCTGATCTGCCTCATCGTCCGAATCCTCAAGGCCCACGGGGACGAGGGGCTGCACATTGGCCAGCTTGTGTGCCTGGTAGGCGGGGTGGGCAGAGGGGATGGAGCTGTGGGGCGGGGGTGTAGTCCACAGAGGGAGGTGGTCCTGTGAGGGTTGAGGTTAGGGTTCACCTGGTGCCCTTGGAGCTTGTGGCCCTGGCAGCTCGTGCTGGGAGTGGAAGCTAGACTTGGTGAGCTGGAGTCTGACCTGTGGTCCCCCTCCCTCCTTCATCCCAGGTGCTGGAAGCTTGGCAGAAGGGCCCATGTCCTCCCAGGGATTTGGTCAGCGGCCTGGGGCGGGGGTCTGCCTGCAGCAGCACCGACGTCCTCTCCTGCATCCTGCACCTTCTGGGCAAGGGCACGGTGAGACGCCGTGACGACCGGCCCCAGATGCTGTCCTACGCTGTCCCCGTGACGGTGACGGAGCCCCACACCGAGTCCCTGAACCCGGGCACCTCAGGCCCCAACCCACCCCTCACCTTTCACACCCTGCAGATTCGATCTCGAGGGGTGCCCTACGCCTCCTGCTCCGTCACCCAGAGCTTCTCTACCTTCCGGTAGCCCTGCAGATGGGACCCGGGTGAGGCAGGGCCCGGCTTCCTACAGAAATAAAATGCAGGAGTTGGCGTGCGTGGCCCGTGTGGTGACTGCTGGGGATCAAAGGGAAGAAGGGTCCTCTGGTTCCGAGGCAGTCTCGTGCCTCACCAGGGTGAGGGGGACGGCGTGGGGAGAATCGTGCAGGGAGTCAGGTGTGACTTAGCAGGGGACTGAGTGGGCAGGGATGGATCGCCACCCCCTCTCAGAGGGTGTGTGGTCAGAAGTGCTCTCACCTGCAGGCTGCAGGCCCAGGCCCATTGTGCCACACGCTGGACGGCATGTAGCTTGGGCAGATTCTCAAGCGGGGCTCCATTTTCCCTGAGGAATTGGACCAGTCACTGTGGCATTCTCACAAGCACTGGGCATGGGAGCATTTGACATGGTAAAGGTTTTGCCAAAGGCCACCACACCCGGCAGTGCGTGCACCTTCCCCAGGTAAGGCTGACAGCGTGAAGGTGAGGTGAAAGACTCTTGCAGGCACTCCGGAGCCAGAAGGTGTGCCTGTTCGGATGCAGCTCCCGTGAATTCCTCATCGCCGCACAGAGCTGCCCACTGTCACCAGAGCTAGGTCCCTGCCCAGTAAGCAGGCCTGTGCTGCTATGATTGCTGCCCTGGCACCACTCACACGGAGGGAGGGCAGGTGAGGCTACGGGACCCGGTGCCAGGGCTGGAGCTCTGCCTCTTGGCAGGGACATTAGGGGAGGAGGGATGGAATATCCCAGGCATCCAGAGTTCATGGTTCTCGCAGCCAAGAAGTGATGAGGAGAAAGCTTCAGAAGGAAGGCGGCGGGTGAAGGGGTGAGTCAGGTGGTGAGAGAGGGCACAGAGGCCAGACAGAGAGGACTGGTGCCCAGTGCCAGGGCTGAGATTTGGAATAGAATCTGTCACGGAAAAGAGGTCAGAGTTTCAGAGTCGGGGTGCCGAGGATGAGGCAACAAACCAGAGGGCCAAGCAGGGTGGGCCCGGCGGGCCTGGCCTTGCCTTGGTCTGCAGTAGGGTGGCTCCAAGGTGCTGTCGGTGGCCTGTTGGTCTGCCTGTTCATAAGGCAGAGGGTGGCAGGCAGCAGCAGGCTGGGGCTGCTGCGGTTCTCACTGGGAGCCTCCACCTCTGAGCCAGAGATCACGGCCTACTCTCTCTATTGGCCCAGGACATGCCGAGTGTGTGTGTGTGTGTTTAATCCTCACCAGAGGATATTTTCTCCAGTGATTTTTTTTTTTTTTTTAAGAGTGAGCAGAAGGGAGGGATGGGGAGATGGAAACAGTGATTGGTTGCCTTTTTAAATTTTTATTTCTTTATTGATTAAGGTATAACTATTTATTTTAATTTTCTTTGCTATTTTTATTTTTATTTATTTTTATTAAGGTATTATATGTGTACATATCTTGTCATTGCCCCCCCCCTACTCCCATACATGCCCTCACCCCCCAGAGTTTTGCGTCCATTGGTTATGCTTATGCGCATGCATACAAGTCCTTCGGTTGATCTCTTTATCTCCCCCACCTCTCCCTAACCTTCCCGCTGTAATTTGACAGTCTGTTTGATGCTTTACTGCCTCTGTATCTATCTTTTTGTTCATCAGTTTATAATTTTCTTTATTATCCTTAAATGAGTGAGATCATGTGGTATTTTTCTTTCATTGACTGGCTTATTTCACTCAGCATAATGTTCTGATTGGTTACCTTTGACTGTGGGACTAGGGATTGAACCTGCAACCCAGGTACGTGCTCTTGACTGGGAATAGAACGTGAAACCCTTAGGTGTGCAGGCCGACTCTCTAACCACTGACAACGCTGGCCAGAGCAGTCATGCCTATTCTTGAGGTCGCCTTTATGCCCACAGCTTTTCGCTCTTCTGCTCTTTATGAGCCTATTTTTCCCGGAGACGGGAGACCCAGAGCCCCTGGGCTGTAGTAGCAAGACCAGCATGCACCACGTGTAGGGGACAAGATGAGTCTGTCTCCCCCTCCACCCATGTTCCTGCTGCCTCCTTGGCTTCTGCGTGGGCCAAGCTCCACACACCACTAGCCTTCCTCACTGCACTCCTTCAGCCCCTTATTCATCCTCAGTCACCTGCCCTCAGCCTCCCACAGGGACCTACCTGCTCACCTGCAATGGACGTGTCTCCAGCAGTTCTTAAGGGAAGGACACACCAGATATCTGCAGTTCAGCTCCTGTGTTGCCCACAAAATAACCCCACCCCCAGACTTGGCCCACATTCAGCTGTCCAGTGGGCAGTGCTGACTCTGCCCTTGTCACCAGCACCGCTAAAGACTTGAGCCCCTTTGTCTGACCTCAGGACTTCCCATCCCTAGAGGATGGACCTTGGACCACTGTGGACAGAAGTTTGCTCCCCTGACTCCGTGAGACCATCCCCACAGCTACGATTCCTCATATCCCTACAGCTGGTTTGCACAGTAAGGGCCTCATGTTGATTCCATTTATATGAAATGTCCCAAAATAGAGACAAAGTGTTTAGTGGTTTCCTAGAGCTGGGGGCACTGGATAGAAAAGGGAAGTGACTACTCAAGTATACGGCGTTTCTTCTTTTGGGATTGGTGAAAATGCTGCAAAATTGATTGTGAATATATTAAAACCATTATATTGTACAGTTTATTTTTTTTAACATATATTTGTTATTGATTTCAGAGAGGAAGGGAAAGAGAGATCAATGATGAGAATCAATTGGCTGCCTCCTGCATGTCCTACATGGGATTGAGCCCACAACCTGGGCATGTGCCCTATGACCAGGAATCAAACTGTGACCTTCTGGTTCATAGTTGATGCTCAACTACTGAGCCACACTGGCCAGGCAAATTGTACATTTTAAATAGGTAAAGTTATGGTATATATGAATTATATTTCAATAAATTTGTTACCAATGGGAGTGGGAAACAGAACAAAAGAAAGCACCACCTAAACACATCCATAGCTGAAATTCAGAGCTGGCCATTGTCTCCTCTGCACCCTTGAAGGGAAAAGTAGCAGTTTGAAGGTTTAGGGGCCAGTCCAGTCTGAAGTGGACATACGTTTTCTTGACCACTCTTCATCTGAACCCCCTTCTCAAGCTTGGAAACTCCTCACCATAAATCTAGATATAAGATAGCGTCCACCTCCCACCATATAAAAGACTTGCTTTTCCAGCATCCTCTTGCTGCCATGTGACCAAAGTACGGCTAATCAGATGCCTCTGCTGGGAACTGCTCAATCTAGAGCAAAACAGGAGGGAAAGTGGGGAGGACCTTGGGTGGCAGCAATGACATCTTCACATCAGCACTCTGGTGCCAAGGCAGAATTTAGAGTGCACTGTACTGCTCGGATAATCAGGGAAATACTAATTTGTGGGGGGCTGTTTCTCTGTTTTCTGAGACCCGCACGGAAAACGGCAGGTTCCTGAGTGGAGGAGCTGGGGATTAAGAAATTAAAGAAAAAAAGAAAGAGACCAGAAGCAGAAATAGATTCAAGCTGGGATCCAGGTAGGGGCCTGCCATTCTGATGGACAGTCAACCACCCACCAGAAACAACACAGCACATTTATTGATTTCCAGAGCTGGCGTTTAAGTCAAAGAAGTTTTGGGTGTGCCCAGGTCCTATTTATTCCCTCATTCCTGGGATTTAGCATATCAAGACCTGGGTAAGCCGAAATCGGTTTGGCTCAGTGGATAGAGCGTTGGTCTGCGGACTGAAGGGTCCCAGGTTCGATTCTGGTCAAGGGCATGTACATTGGTTGCAGACATATCCCCAGTGGGGGGTGTGCAGGAGGCAGCTGGTCGATGTTTCTCTCTCATCAATGTTTCTGGCTCTCTATCCCTCTCCCTTCCTCTCTGGGGAAAATCAATAAAATATATATATTTTTTTAAAAAGGCCTGGGCAAGTCAAGGTCCTATTTGTTCCTCATTCCAAGCACATCGATAAAGGTAAGAAATCAGTACTGATAACTGTCTCCAACATTTTGGGAAGCTGTTTCCAGGGGAATGGCCAGGCCAGTCACCTCGGACTCAGCTGACATTAATTTAAAGGTCATCCATGTGCATTCCCAAGGGGCCCTCTGCTCTAATTAAGGAGCTTCCACTGCACACCTGCTAAGATGCTATACCCAAAAGTACAGTAACATGTTGACTAAGCGCCCCCCTCCTTTTGAGCTCCCCTCCAACCTTCTGTGTTTATATGAGCCTAATAGTTAAATGGTCTTTTTCTGATTTTATCAGCCAGAATCTGTTCTTTGGCTTTAAAGTGGTACTGACACACGTCTTCAGGGACCCTGCAGCTCTAGATCGCTCACTGCCTCTGGGCAAGGCAAACTATCCCGACAGCTACAGCCCTCCGCTCCCACCCCGTGAGAGCAGAGCATCGTACGCTTCATCTTACATTTCTGTCATCAGACCGCCTTTCACCCCATCCCATTAGTATCCCATAATAGACGTCCTAGTTTCTAATTCTGTCTCTCCCCTTCTCTTTATAGCTACTTTCTTTTTTGTTAGTCTTCCTAATGTCTTGTTAATTTCTGGATTTTTTCCCCCCCCAATTCTGCTTGGAATTTCCTGATTGTTAGTGTTTATAAACTTCAATTCTAGAAAATTCTCAGCCTCTTTGAAGTATTCACTCCTTCTGGAACTCTGGTTATGTCATATCTTCTCACTCCACCTCAGTGGTTTTCCAACCTCTTTACCTTTGTTCCCATTTCCTTGTATCCCTGGACACTTTCCATCTTGTAACTTTCTCAGATCTACTTCAGGTTCTTTCTCCTTTTAGGTGTCTAATCTGCTGCTTAACTATTAAGTTTCTTAATTCATATAGCATATTTTTCATTTTTAAGTTTTACTTTAACCAAACCAATTTGGTTCTTTCTTAAGTCTTTTCATTTTTTTTATTTTTTTTTTTATTTTATTTTATTTTTTTTTAATGAGTTTTTATTCATATTATTACAAATTTCCCCCCCCACCACCACCATTGCTCTCCTCCACCAGGTTCCCACCCCACCCTCTGCCCTTTCCCCACTATCCATTGTCCTCATCCATAGGTGCACAGTTTATGTTCAGTCTCTTCCCACGCCCCCCTCTCCCCTTTTCCCCAAGAATCGTCAGTTCACTCCCCTTCCATACCTCTGATTCTATTATATTCAACAGTTACTATTGTTCATCAGATTTTTTTTTTAATTTCCTTGGTTTTTAGATTCACTTGTTGATAGTTACGTATTTGTTGTTCATAATTTTTATCTTTGTTTACTTTCTCTTCTGAAAGAACTCCCTTCAGCAACTCATATAAGTCTGGTTTGGTGTTGATGAACTCCTTTAGCTTTTTTTTATTAGTGAAGCTCTTTATCTGACCTTCGATTCTGAGTGATAGCTTTGCTGGATAGATTATCTTTGGCTGTAGGTTCTTACTATTCATCACCTTGAATATTTCTTGCCATTCCCTTCTGGCCTGCATGGTTTCTGTTGAGAAGTCAGCTGACAATCGTATAGGTGCTCCTTTATAGGTAACTACCTTCTTTGCTCTTGCTTCTTTTAATATTCTCTCTTTGTCTTTTGCTCTTGGAATTTTAATTATGATTTGTCTTGGTGTGGTCCTCTTTGGATTCCTTTTGTTTGGAGTTCTGTGCGCTTCCTGGACTTGTAAGTCTAATTCTTTCCCCAGGTGGGGGAAGTTTTCTGTCACTATTACTTTCAGTATGTTTTCGATATCTTGCTCTCTCTCATCTTCTGGGACCCCCATAATTCTGATGTTGGTTCGCTTGAAGTTGTCCCAGAGGTTTCTTACATTATCTTCAATTTTCTGGATTCTCTTGCCTTCTAGCTTCTGTGGAGGAGTGTCTTCTGGCTCTTTATGTTCCAAATCTTTGACTTGATTCTTGCGATCTTCCCTTCTGTTTTTAGGACTCTGTAAAATATTTTTTACTTCAGACAATGTATTCTTTATTTCTTGTTGTTCCCTTATCATTTCTTGATGACTCCTTATTAATTCTAGTTGATTTCTTTTCATATCCTCATAGGTCTTATCCATCTTTTCTAGGAAATTCTTGAAAAACCTTATAAGCGTAGATTTGAATTCTATATCCAGCTGCTTTTTGTCCTCCATTTCTTTCGTTTGTGATCTATTTCGTTGTCGCATTTCACAGTTACAGATGGGGCGGGGTTTCAGGGTGGAGCCTGCAGCCTTGGCTTCCGTCAGCCCCGCCCTATGCGGGTCCTTCTGTGCTCGCTGCGGCGCCTCTGAGAGAAAGGCGCCCTCGATTTTCGCCTGCTGCCAAACAGTCAATGCTCTCCGCCAATGAGCCCGGTATTGGGGTTCAGTTCAGTTGGAAGTGGAGTTGGAGGTGGCATTCAGAGCAGTCCAGAGCCCCTGTCTCCTTCCCGCCAGGCAATCCCGCGGCACAGCTGGCTGTCCCTTCTCAGCGTGCTCTGGGTGCCACCGCCGGGACCTCCTTTCGCAGCTTCCCCGGGTACCGCCTCGCAGCCCAGCTCCCTCTTGCTGAGCCTGAGTCCCCAGGGTCTGGCCTAGGCTTGGGTTCAGAGCAGTCGGGGGCCCAGCACAGTCAAAGTTTTATCTCTTTCCGGCTTGGGAAGGCCTGCCAGGCACTCCGCCTCCCTCCTCTCCGCGCGCTGCGCGTCTCCGTACCTTCGGCTTTTCCAGCTCCTCCGCGCTTCCTTCTGGTTTTCTCCTTGCTTCTCGTTGTAGAATTTCCAGTCAGTCAACTTTCCTGTAGTTCTGGGTAATGTCCGTTTTATATTTTAGTTGTATTTTATTGAAATTGTTGTGTGAGGCTGCAGCTAGGTATTCACCTGGGCGCAGCCATCTTCAGGACCCCAAGTCTTTTCATTTTTCATACTTTTTCTTTTAATGTACATTTTCTATTTTTCACTTTCAACATCTGTTGTGGCTTGTTCTAATTCTGTTACCTCTTGCTGGTGGTGGTTTCTTTCCTTGGGGTGGATTGTAAACGCACAGTCCTTGAGGTTTTATCTGCAGGAATTCCTTCAGGCCTGGGTATACAGTACAGTCCTGAGAGAGAACTGCATTTGCTCCTGCTGGGTGCCTGGAGACAGTGCCAACCCCAGGCCACTCTGAATGATCAGGTTGAGGATTTTCCAGCTCAAATGTGTAGTATGAATTCTAGACCCAAACAGTATTGAGACAGCAGTGCCGATAGTTTTTTTGTCCCCATCTCGTACCTCCCCTTGCATCCAAAGGAAAGCTAAGTAGGTGAATTGTGGGACTGGTTCACTCTTTAAATGATCTGCTCTTGGGTCTCTGATCTGACTTCTCACTTTGTAGGAGCCTTAGATTTTGGCCCCCAAGACAGTAATTTTAGGTTCCCCATGCCCCCACCCCTTCCACACACACACATAAAGCAAATGTGTGACAAGAATGTTTATTAACTGGCTCCTACATCAAGTCCCAGTCCTCGAAGCTGTCAACAGACTGCATGGCTTCCACTAACCTGACCCATTTTCTTCTGTCAGAGTCACCATTTCATAGCAATGAGGAATGTCTGGCCTGTGGGCCAGATAAGGCCCATGGCATCATCTGGTCTTGCCCTGCCAAGGCATTAGGGGTGAGTTTTAAAAAATTAAATGTTTGATTAAATTTGGCAGTTAATTTTTAAACTGATAATACTGTATGGCCCACGAATGATGTTATAAATATACAAATGGCCCTTGGCAGAAAAAAGGTTCCTCACCCCTGGTTTAAGGCCAGGCTGGGAGGACACGAGTCCATGATGAACCAGATCCGAGCAGAGGAAGTGCGCCACGGCAGGAGCTGAGCTGTTCTTGTCCGTCCCTGGGGCAGCCCGAGAGCCCTCTAGTCCTCGCTGAGCCAATCAGTTCAAGGGCAGCTGTGATCCTTGTCCTTGAACGGGAAAGATCCAGAACAGGCCAAGCACGAGTCTGACCCACAGATCCACTTCTCACTGGGGCAGTGACAGAGCTGAGGTCAGTTCCGTACTAGTCTTTATTCAAAGGGAGATGTCGCCTGTCCTTGCCTGCGTTTCGGCGCCTTTTTCGACTCAAGAAGCTGTCTAGCTTCTTGCTGCGTTTCAGCTCCTTGAACTTCTCAGCTAGGACCAACTGGCGCTGTTCAGCTAGAGGACAGGGAGAAATCAAGCTGGTAAGCAAAAGCAGAAGCACCACTTTCCCTGTTCCCCAGTCAATAATTCTCAACCACTGTGCTGGGACACATGACTTAAGAGTTCATGGGTGTAAGCAAGCTGTTTTTTTCTCTGATTCCATTCTTTTACAACTCAACCAACTGGGAGCTTCTATGTTCCCAGTCCAGCATATGTGGAAAGTACAACGGAGATAAAAACGACACCCTGCCCTAGGCACGTAGCTCAGTTGGTTACATGGTCATTCAGATATGCCAAGGTTTTGGGTTCGATCCCCAATAAGAGTACAAAAAAAAACACACAAAACAAGCAATGAATGTAGAAATAAATGGAACAACAAATTGATGTTTCTCCTTCCATTCCCTTTTGAAAAATCAAAAAACAAACAAACGAAACCCTACTGTGTCATATCATTAAAAAAACAAATAAAAGCAACACCCCCTGCCGATAATCTAATTTTAGGGAAACGAGAATGGGTAACTCCCCCCCTCAGTATTTCTACTCTCCTAATATACTATGGGACCCAGCATTCATGCCTCCTGTAGGGCCTCCGGCGCCCTGCCCCTGTAGCTAGCCTGTCACAGCTGTGCCCACTCACATTTCTTCAGGAAGTACGGACGGTGGCCCTGCTGGGCCTGAGCCCGCCGCTCCTGCTTCAGAGCCAGGCGCAGCTCCTGCTGCCGCTTTCGTTCCTGCTGGGCCATTTCTTGCTGCTCCTGAAGAGCAAAGATGAGATGGGTTGTGAGCAACTGTGAGCTTCCTCCTGTCTTGCACTACTTTCACCCCCACCCACAATCTGACTCACTTACCATTCGCTGAAGCAGCTGCTGCAGCTGCTCATGCTTCTCCCCTGAACGGTGCTTCTTCAACTGCTTTTTCACAAGCTGCACGGTGGGAAATGGATGTGGTGGTTAGGATGCTGTAAATGTTAGCTGAAATTCTGTGCCAGGCGTTACTCTAAGAGGTTCGCATATGTTAACTCAGTAACACTATGAGATAGGAATTGTTATTTCTTTTTATGATTAGAAAACTGAAACAAAGCCAAGTTGAATAACTTGCCAATGGTAAGCTAGCAAACGGAACGGATGAGCCAGGATTTGAATATAAGCACCAAATTAGGGAGAATTAAACCTGCCCACCATGCTCCAGTTACCTGTGCCTGACTCTAACTTGTGCCCTAGCTTCCCAATCCCTAACCAGTGACCCTGCCTCATGCAACACACCTGTTTCTCTTTGGCCCGGATGTCATTCAGGAATTGATACGTTTTGTCAAACACTTCAGGCTTATATTCCCCTGACAAATCGTCAAAGCGGGGGTCCCGGGCCACCTTTGGAGAGAACAGAGAGAATGTAAAAATACAGTTTGGTCTCCTTTCACAAGAAAGCACTTCCTGCCTCTTTCTCACCTTCTTACTGATGGGGACGACCTGACGCAAAAACGGCACCCGCACCTTGGCTGACATTTCCAGAGGCCTGTGGAGAAATTCAAGGACAGGTCAAGGGGACTCCAGTCTTGGCCAAAGGCCTCCCACCTGCCCCCTAAGAAAATAGACACCGACTCAAGATCGCAGACATCCTCCAGCTCCTGGGGCAGGCCTGCTCCTCACCTATGCTTATCCGCAACACATGCATTTTGGACAGCTGGTCTAGAGCCTTGCTTCTTAGTGCTGCTTCCAGCTACCAACTGTTTGTATGTCTTAGTCCCCACTTGGCTCTGCAGTTCCAACAGCTCCTCAAATGACATGTTAGATGTGTCTGTGAAAATAGGGGACACACACAATTCAGCTCAGCATTTCCCGCTGCTGGGAAGACAGCACTCCATTCTCCTTAAGGTAACTGACCCTTTCCAATACCCCCACCCAACCAATCCCTACAGGTCCTGAGCAGCACAGGCTGTCATGGTGCTGTCATCTATGTTCCCAACTGTTTCAGCTACCTTGGGCCCTCCCCTTGCTACGGTGTATATGTAAGGCCAGTGGTGGAGCAACTCAGTCCCTTCTTTCTTTTTTTTTTTTTTAATATATATTTTATTGATTTTTCACAGAGAAGAAGAGAGAGGGACAGAGTCAAAAACATTGATGAGAGAGAAGCATCAATCAGCTGTCTCCTGCACACCCCCTTTGGGGATGTGCCCACAACCAAGATACATGCCCTTGACCGGAATCAAACCTGGGACCTTTCAGTCCACAGGCCAACGCTCTATCCACTGAGCCAAAACGGTTTTGGCAACAGTCTCTTCTTTTTCACCCTCTTAAATTATTCCTTCACAGGTCTCCCCAGGAGGGCCCGTCTCCCTTGCCCAGTTACTGTTGCCAATGCTCTGGTTCATCATCTCAGCACCTCACTCTAATCAGTGCTCGAGTCTCCTACCTGGTCTCCCAACCTCCAGTCCCCCTCCTCTCAAAGTTACGCTCCCCACTTCAGTTTGAGAGAGACATCTAAAATGTAATTCTGCTCGGGTCGAGGTTGGAGCGCCAGGCAGACTGGCTTTTAGCACGCTCGGTGGTGGTCGTCTGACATTTTAACCCAATGAGTTGTCCAGCGGACTCTGCCGCCAGCCTTCAGAACTATAAGGGGAGATATCCAAGATGGCGGCATAGGTAAACATCTAAACTGCTGCCGCGCACAACAATTACAAAACTACAACTAAAAGACAAAACGTCTATCACCCAGAACCACGGGAAAGCTGGCTAAGTGGAAGCTCTACAACTAGACGGAAAGAGAAAACAATCAGGGCACAAGTGCTAAAAAACTAAGATACAGGGATGCACGCGATATGGGCTGGCGGCGGGCGTTGCTTTCTTCAACCTGAAGAGAGACAAACTCCCAATCTCTCTGAAATCCAGTTTCTGGGGAGAAGCTAGACTGTCTGCCATTGGGGTGGAAGTGAGGGTGGCTTGCTTGCAGAACTGCGGGCAAGAATAATTGTTTGCTGTGCAGGGGCGGGAGACGCGGGCGGAGAGGCAGAGACAGCTGATGGGCAGCCATCTCTGTTTGCCAAGTCCTAGCCTAGTGACGCCCTGAGACTCTGCCCTACACAATTTTCAAACATACCCAAGCTCCAATCAGCGGTTTTTGCGTATGAATGGCTTTCTCTAATGCAGTATAACCTAGCAAACTTAAAACCTGGTGCAGACAGCTCCAAAGCCTCCAAGCTCCAAGCAGGGAGGAGAGGACTGTGGTTCTCGCTGTAGCTCCTGCAGGGTGGCCTCAGACAGTAGCTGACCTGCACCCCATTGGAGATCCAGAAGCCAGTGTACCTAGTGGTCAGTGTGAGACACCAGATCTCAACTCCTCACACCCATAAGTGACACATTCAGGAGACAGACTCAGTGAGCACCAAAGCCCCACTGAAACAAGGCCTGCACCATAAGCGTGTCTCCAGTGCAGCAGTTCTTCCATTACAGACACAGCGGGTCCCCACAGCCAATAGGCCTGGAGATCAATTCCTCCCAGTGTACCACAGCAATCAAGGTTTAATTACACCAAGACTATGCACTCAGCCCACGAAGGGAGTACCAAGAGTGACACCTCAGGCGATTGGGGAAGTTGAGCTACTGGCCCCTATATGTCATCGACCACACAAGCCACTCCAGCAACACAGGGAGGCAGCCAAAATACGGAGACACAGAAACATGTCACAAATGGGAGAGACGGAGGAAAGTAAACTACTAGACGACACAGAGTTCAGAACCACACTTATAAGGTTACTCCAGAATCTTCTAAAAACCACTGAGAAACTTGATGAGACCCCCCCAAGAAGCTTAGTGAGACCTTCACAGACCTTAATGAGAATGCAAAAAAAAAAAAAAAAAAAAAAAAAAAAAAAAAAGGAAAAGGACCAGTCAGAAATTAAGCATACACTGTCTGAAATAAAGAATATACAGAAACTCAACTGTAGATCAACGTACCCCAAGAGTCAAACCAAAGATCTGGAATATGAGGAAACAAAAAACACCCATCCCTCGGGCAGAAAGAAGAATCCAAAAGTGTGAGGATAGTGTAAGGAGCCTCTGGGATGGCTGTAAGCGTACCAACATCCGGATTTTTGGGGTGCCAGTAGAGAGCGAACAGGATATTGAAGGCCTATTGGAAGAAATAATGACAGAAAACGTTCCCTACCTGGTAAAAGAAATACACTTACGAGTCTAGGAAGCACACAGAACCCCAAACAAGAGGAATCCAAAGAGGATCACACCAAGACACATCATAATTAAAACACCAAGGGCAAAAGACAAAGAGAGAATCTTGAATGCAGCAAGAGAAAAAACAGCTAGATACCTACAAGGGAGTACCCATATGACTGACAGCTGATTTCTCAACAGAAACTATGCAAGTCAGAAGGGAGTAGCAAGAAATATTCAAAGTGATCAACAGCAAGAACCTACAACCAAGACAAAGCTATCATTCAGAATTGAAAGTCATATAAAGAGCTTCACAGACAAGAAAAAGTTAAAGGAATTCATCACTACCAAACCAAGATGAACTGCTGAAGGGCATTCTGTAAGAAGAGGAAGAAGAAAAAGGTAAAGGTGAAAATTATGAACAACAAAAAGACATCAAATACCAACAAGTGAATCTAAAAATCAAGTGAATAAAAAATCTGATGAAGAGAATGGACTGATGAATATAATAGAATCAGAAACACAGAAAGGGAGTGGACTGACAATTCTCAGGGGGAAGGGGTCTGAGAGGTATGGGGAGAGATTGGACAAAAATCTTACACCTATTGATGAAGACAGTGGCGGGGGGGGGGGGGGGGGGTAAGGGCATGGGGTAGGATGGGGAATCAGGTGGAGGGGGAAAAGGAACACCTGTAATAATCTGAACAATAAAGATTATAAAAAATAAACAATAAATAAAATGTAACTCTGCTCTTATCACTCCAACCTCATTACCCACTCCACATAAATATACTTCAGATCATGTCATTCTAGAACTCAAAACTCCCCAACGCCTTCCACCTTTGCTTAGCATTAAAGTGGCTGGAAGCCCCAGGAGACCTAGCCCCTATATTGTATCTAATCTCATTTCCTACTAATCTCCTCCTTCCACTCCTGTCAGCTGGCCTCCTAGCAGTCCCTGAGCAGGAAGGCGTTCTTTGCACTTGATGCTGCCTCTGCTTGGAGCACTTTCTTCAGAAACATTTATTACTTCTCTGCACCTCTTTCAACCATGGCTCAAACGTCACCTACTGTGAGGCCTCCTCTGATTATAATTGCATTCCCTCCCTGCTTTCTCTCCATAACCTGGTAACCTTTTTGGGAAATTGAGATATAATTCACATGCCATAAAATTCACCTTTTTACAGTATACAATTCTGCTTTACTGCCTTTTAATAGAATAATTTGTGTCCCTTTTAAAAAACAAAACAAAAAAAACTACTCTTTCTAAATGATAAATTCCATGAGGACAGTTTTTGGCTGCTTTATTCACTATTGCATCTCCAGCATCTAGAGCTATGCCTAACTATATATATTTATATTTACTTACTTATTTATTATTTTTCCCCCCAGAGAGGGAGAGGGACCGAGAGAAACAAATGAGAATCATTGATGGGCTGCCTCCAGCACGCCCCTTACTAGGGATGTAGCCCGCAACCAGGCACCTGTCCTTGACTGGAATCGAACCTGGGACACTTCAGTCCGCAGGCCGAGGCTCTATCCACTGAGCCAGACCCGCTGGGACTGCCAAACTTCTTTCATCTTGACGAACTGAGTCCTTCCCCAGCACCCCATGTCCGGGCCTCAATGCTTTCCCACAGGCGTCCTCTCCCTGGGACCCCCTCATCCTCCCTTTAAGAGCCTGCTCAGGGCGTCCTGGCCCAGGAAGCACCCGCGCCCACTTCCCACTGCGCTAAGGCGCTGCTTGCGGGCCTTGGGGAGAACTTAGCTCGCGGCAACCGCGCTGCCGGCTCCGACACCGCACCGGGCGGGAGCCCGGACCTGCGCTCCTCCCGCCCCCGGCCTCCCTCTCCGCGGGCCCCCGGCCCCTCCCGCCCCCGGCCTCCCCGTTCGCAGGTCCCCGGCCCCCGGCCCCTCCCGCCCCGGCCTCCCCTCCCGCCCCGGCCTCCCCGTTCCGCAGGCACCGCCGTCCTCCAGCCCCCGGCCTCACCCTTCCGCAGGCCCCCGCCGTCATCTCCGCCCTCCCCGGCCCCGCGGGGAGAGCCGGCGGCCGGCCCGGCGCGGGACCTCGCTCTCGGCATCGCTCGCACCGCGCGGACCAACGGCGTGGTTTCCGCCCAGGCGGCTCCGGCCCCGCCCCTTCCGGCAGCTCAGGAGGCGGGTCCGCACGGGCGGAGACGCAGGCTCCCAACACGCCCAGTGCCCGCGCCGGGCTGGGGCGCCCACTCCAGGTAAAGCGGCCACTTTATCACCTGGCCCTGGACTCCGCGCCGGCGAGGTGGGCCAAGCCACGTGGCATTTGACCTGCGAGTGCACCCTGCCCCCTGGGCAAGCTCCCGCCATCCCATTTATTCCACAAAGACAGATCATTGGTTTAGAGGTCTTTAATTCATTTTTATAAAATCTGAGCTGGCTGTGAGCATCAGGGTTACAGCAACAGCTCAAGGAAGGGGTAGGATTATCTGCTGGTCCTCGCCTTCCCCGGGTCAGGGCGAAGGAGGTTTCATGGCAACAGCTGCAACTTCTCTCAGCTCCCAATCAATGCTCATGGCTCAAGCAGGGGCGGGTGAAAACAGAGCGGGAGGGAAGCTTCTGAGGACCAGACACTGCTTGCTTCTCCCTTCTCCCCATTCCCTTCACTTCTCAGAGGCCTGCTGGCCTGGGACAGAGCAGAGTCCAGGAGCAGTTGGAAGAAGGTGGATGGGACAGAGCACCAAGGGAAGGGGCCCTCGGCCCAAGGAGGGGGGGGAACCTAGCCCTCCCCCCACAGCTCCCCACTGAGTTCACAGCACAAAAAACACCTCTAGTCCAACAACTCCATGTGGAGGTATACCAGGGTCCAAAGGGGCAGGCGGGTGAGAGACAGGTAGGGGCAGTGAAGACAACAGCAGGCTCGAGGGATGGTGGCAAAAACTTCCTTCTACCCATGGGAGGAGACGATGGGGCGACTGATATTGCTGTTGGTGGTCATGGCATTCAGCTCCCACCTGGAAGGCCAACAGTGACAGGTGTAAAGGACAGGAAGAGGAGCCTCCGCCCACGCCCAGAATAGGTATCAAAACTATGAATACAGCAGTGTCTTCAACTTCCTTAAACCTTAACTACTCACAGCCACCTCTTCCTTACAGCCCTACTAGATTTAACAATCAGGCCCGCCCACCACCAAATCCAATACCACCCACAACTCCACCTGCAAGCTCAAGTGGACTTCCTGTTTATGTTTACATCTTCTTTTGCCCAACACCTGGAGAAAAGCACAGGTGTATACATCTCAGTAAATTTCCCAGCCTATCTTTCCTCTGCTCAGATCCAACCAGGCAGCTCCTATCCCAATTCAGGAATGCCCATTTTGCTCTAACTACTATTCCTTTCAGAAAGAAGTCTGATTTGGCTCTCCTACCCTCCCACCCCAGGTCTTCCCCACCCATCCCATCACGTTAAAATTAAATCCCTTTTTGATAATTCTGTCATTCTATAAAGATTTACCAATAACCCCCTTAGTTCCAAACCCTCACTATAGTCTACTTGATTTAGGTGTGAAAAGGAAAATTGGGGGGGGGGGGGGGGGAGGAGGACAGGGACGGACTTGCAACCTAGTTCAGTATCTGGTAAAACTGCAGTCTTACTTCCTCACTAGGGCTGACTTGGGCGGAGCTGCAGAGCCTAACTCAGGGCCCTGCTACAGCTGACTTGGGCAGAGCTGCAGGGACCCTTAGGGGCCCACCTCAGGAGGAAAGATACAGGTCAGAGCCTCCCCATGTGCAGTTCAGGCTTTGGATCCAGAATTCCCCTGGACTAGCAGATCTTCGAAAGAAACTTTCCTCCCTCAGAGTGCTGGCTGATCGTGCTCCCGTGCATTCTGCCACAATAAGTATTTGCATACATGTCAATCCTAGGCCAACCTATGAGCCACCAGGTAAGCCCTGTACATACCTTGTCACTGAAGACTGATCACATAGACCCTCAGCAAATAAGAATTAAATTGAACTGATACAAGGAAAAAGACGTGCCGAAGAATGACCCAAAAGGGCATAATTATATACAAAGTACTTTTGGTGCCTGATTTAGACCTAAGAGTGAAACTAAAAGGGAAGGAGCTAGGAAGAACTCACTTAATTCCAGAACTAAGGTGATTCAGAGGCTTCTAAACTTATCTTTACTTAGCAGGTAGGTCCTAAGATTTAATCAAAGTTTTTCAGCATCTTAAAGAAACAACCGTATAGGCTCAGATCTCAGGAAGTGATGCTCCTGAGCTTCGTCTGAAAAACAATTTTTTTCTATGTAATTTACCCAGTGGACAGTCTATATCTCCTTCCATCTCATTCTCCACAAGAATTCTATATCTTCCATATGAAGTCATGCTTGTGCTGCCACTTACTCTCAATCAATCCCTCCTTTCCAACCACTCACTGTACCTGATGTCATGGGGCAAACAGGACTGGTCCAGGTTATACTGAATTACAGCCAGTTTGCACAGAGTCTTCAGACTAGGGCCTTCAGAGGAAGAATGGGAGACAGGGACATAGTCAAAGCCAAGGAAAAGATTCGGTCCTGGGTGTCACCACAGGGACCCTGATGGCAGGAGCACTTTGGGAATAAGTGTACTTACTAAAGTCCAAAATGTGTAAATCAGAATGATCTATGAGGTCAAACTCATCTCCCAGGCCTTCCTCAGGAGATGGGCTGTAGAGATCAAAAGAGAGATAAAGGAAGGAGGAAAGAATGCTCATGAGACTCCTCTTGCTCAAATGCCTCCCAGTTTAGCCACAGACTTAGGGCCTTCCCTGCGCCTTCCCCTTTCCCCTACTAACCTGGTACCCCCAAAGAGGACAATTTTGTCACCAACAATACAGCAGCACTGGCGCCGGCGTGGACATGGCCCCTTTCCCTTCGGTTCAATCTTTTTCCAGGTAAAGGACACTAAAGAGAAGTTTACATGGAGATTCAATACCCGCCCAGGCCAGATATCCTCTCCAACTTCAACCTCTCACCTACTCAGGATTCTCTCTTTCTTTCCCTCCCCTCTCGCGTGCTCCTTGCTTCTCCCTTAGAGGCAGTGATCTTTACCAGGGTTAAATTTCCACAGGTCATGGAAGTGCCGGTTCAGCCGTGCATTATAGCCACCAAAAATGTACAGCTCCCCGTTGTAGCCAACTGGAAGGAGAGGGGGCCGTCAGGAGTGTGAAGACACTGGGGGGAAAGGAGGACTCCGCAGGGACATAACACTCACAGGCTGAGTGGCTCCGGCGCCCCTCGGGCAGCACCGGAGTGGCTGGACAGTCCAGCCAGGCCTCAGTCCTGGTGTCAAAGACTCGGATGCGGTTGCAGTAAATCTCATTGTTGGAATGGAACGGCCCAAATCGGTCAGCTCGACCCCCAAAGACATACATATGACTGCCCAGCATTGTGGCTGAGTGGAAGTCTCTCCAGCGTGCAGGATTGCCCTGGGCAGGAGGGGGAGAAGAGAGGTGAGGGGGAGTGAGAAGGCTGGGAAAGGATCTGCTCTCACTATTGAACTTCCTATGGTTTCTTCAATTGAGGGTGGGGTCTGGGAGAAAGGAGGAAGGGCAGACCTTTGTACAGATAAGGGTCCACGTCATGGTGCTGGTATCCAGCTTATGAATATCATTGGAAAAGCAGTCCGCCTGAATGGGAAGAGAAAGGAAGTGAAAGAAGAAATATAAGATTGGGTCAGTAGTCTCTGACCTCCATCCCTCCCCTCAAAAACCTGCAAAACAGCCGAAACCGGATTGGCTCAGTGGTAGAGCACCGGTCTGCGGACAGAAAGGTCCCAGGTTCGATTCTGGTCAGGGGCATGTACGTTGGTTGTGGGCACATCCCCGGTAGGGGGTGTACAAGAGGCAGCTGGTCGATGTTTCTCTCTCATTGACGTTTCTAGCTCTCTATCTCCCTCCTCCCTCCCTTTCTCTCTGTAAAAAATCAATAAAATAAAAAAATAAAAAAAAATTAAAAAAAACCCCTGCAAAACAGCCCCAGCCAGTTTGGCTCAGTGGATAGAGCTTTGGCCTGCAGACTGAAGGGTCCTGGGTTCAATTTCGGTCAATGGCACATACCTCAGTTGCAGGCTTGACTTTAAGCCCAGATTGAGGCATGTGCCAGAGGCAACTAAATTGACGTATCTCTCACATCAAAGTTTCTCCTGGTCTCTCCCCCTCCCTTCCACTATCTCTAAAAATCAATGGAAAAAATCCTCAGGTGAGGATTAACGACGACGACAATCAAAAACCCTGCAAAACAAGCCAAAGCCTCCCATTCTACCATCCTCAATTCCCCTTCCTCACTTGCTTTCCAGACCTACCAGTTGCTCGTAGCCCCCAAAAATGTACATGGTCTTGCCCAAGACACAAGCCGAATGTCCGTCCCGGGCCCCAGGAACTGTTCCTAACACTCGGGGCGTGGACCACTTGTGAGTATCTGAAGGAGATGAGAGGTTGAGCCAGTTAAGCAACTCTGACCCTCCGAGTTGCCTATTCCCAACCCAGCCGACATCTTCCCAGCACGGGAGGTACCATTTGGAGGAACAGAGCCCCGTACTCACTGACGTCAAAGGCGTAGAGCACATTGCAGGCTCCTTCCGTGTCATTCCGCCCGCCCCAAAGGAAGACCGTGTCATCGATGAGGACGGTGGAGTGCCCATACCGCATGTATGGCACCACAGGAGGCTGCCCGCGGACGGTGGGTCTCACCGGGGGCAGCTTTGTCCAGCGCAAGGACACTGTGGGCATAGCTCAGCTCAACCCTGGAACCCTCCTTCCAGGCTGTCCACCTTTTCCCAAACCAGATCTTCATTCCTTCATCTCCTTTGGCCACAGCGACCACCACCAAAACTCACTCCACCACCCGTTTCCCTCCCCAATGGGCACCAGGGATGTTCCCAGGATTAGCTTACCTGCATTGAAAATGTGCACATCAATCTGACGCAGTGTTTCGTAGTCTTCACCAGAGCAGTAACCCCCGAAGGAGAATACCCGGTGCCCAACAGCCACTGCAGCATGGTTCACCCTGCGGGGCCCGCCCTCCAGGTGCACTGTCCACCGTAACATCCCCTGGGCCACTGGTTACAGCAACATGCCCCCCCGGCACGGCCTGCTGCCTCTGCTACCTGCACACAAATCAGGGCCACAGAGGCCTGTGCCTGGCTCACCAGGACTCTGCCCGGGCCAGCACTTGCCTCCAAGTGTCACCCGGGTGGCTCCTCCCCCCCACCCCCTCCCCACAGCTCAGGTGGCTGGCCCTGCCCCAGAGGAGCTGCCGAGGTCAAGGAGCTAGCCCTGGCCCTGAGTTCTCCAAAAGCAAAGGGTGGGGCCACTCCAACCTGATTGGCAGCTCAGAATCTGCTGATCAAGGGCTCAGCGTGATCATTCCCTACTCATGGATGCTCTATCCTACCCGTGGCCTGGCACAAGCTCCAAGCCCCCTTCCCAGGCTGCTGGGCTCCCTGGTACCTCTGGCTCTGCTCTGATTACTGCCACCTCTCTAAGAATCTCTGTGCTCTTTAAGATGGGGAGCGGGATCTCAAAATACTCAGAGCTATTAATAGCTCAGCCAGCCCCAGACGGTCCATTGAAAGCTGGCATGGGTACTTCCAAGCAGAAAAGCTTTTAGGCTTTTAGAGTGGATTAGTTCCCCTATGCAAGATGGGGTGGGGTCCAGGACAGGGACCTCCATATTACCATGGATGATTAACCCCTCATAGGAAGCTCTTGTCAAACTGAGGTTGGGTCACCAAGGGCCTTCCCAGGCATGAGGAGTTCCTTTAGCAGCTGGGCCTGGTATGCTGCCAAAACTAGGAACTTAATCAGAAAGGTATGTGTCCGCTGTAGATTGAGGGAGTGGGGGTGGGGAGGAAGGGTTTCCTCCTCCTGCCACTTCCCCAACCCTACTCCAGTGGCAGAGACAAACTGTTCCCAGCAGCTGCCCTCCTACAAGGGTCCCCAAAGGGGGGGTGACGGTGGGAGGGTGCACTGGAGACGAGAAGGGAAGCAAAATGCCCTTGGGCAGGACACGAAAAAGACCCAGGTTGGAGGGCTGATCTCTTTAAGACAACCTGCCAACCTAGCGGGAATGGGTACATTTGAAGCCCGCGTCAGGCAGAGCCTCCAGTGACTGGCACTGCCTGTGCTGGCAGGCACCTGTTGGGTCTGGGTGGATCATCTTCTCCCTGTTCAAGGCAGAACTTCAGGCCCCGAGAGAGCTCAAGGGAGGCCCCTTGAGAAAAAGAAAAAAGGGCATGGCTTTCAGCTGGCTTGCAAGTCCCTACCAACCTCCCTCAACCTCCTCCCCAGGCTTTAAACAGCTACCATGCCCAGCCTGACAGAGCCCCGGCCGGAAACTATAGTCTCCCTTGATTACTCTTGACCTCAATCCAGAATACCTGGGCTCTGGGCTTGAGGGGACAGATAGGGAGGCTGAAGGGCTTAAGAACGGGAGTCCTTTGTCTTCCCTCATAGCTTCTACTCCCTGCAACTCCATCAAGGTAGAGAACGCACAGGAGTAGAGAGAAGCAATCCCACCCAAAGGTGGAGAGAGAATCTTAGCTTCTCTTCCGTCAGGACAACCCGAGCTCATGGAGAAAACGCCCCCAAAGTCTCAGGGGCTGTGCTAGCTTGGAGTTTCCCCCACACTCCATCATGGCCGCATTCTCAACTTCTTCAATTCCCTTCATGTGCCTACCCCTCTCTGCTCTCTTGCAATTATCACTCGGCCCCCTCCCTTTTTTTTTTTTTTTTTTTTATCTGAGAGCTTTGCAGTTTTCTCCTTTTTCCTTTTCCCACCACTCCAAGCTCCACCCTGAAGTTCTCCATTTTCCCTCTCCCACTGAGGGAAAAGCGCTAATAATCACTGTCCCCTTTTGGCCAGAGAGATTCCTCCCAGTATGTGACGCTGTCTCTGGATTCTTCCAGTCATCCCGACCTCCCCTCCCCCACAGCGCCGGACCCTCCCCCCACCCCCTCCATTATCCTTAGTTCCCCCCCGTTCTCTTCCTAACCCAGCCTTCCTTCCAGGTCCCTCAGTGCCTCCTCCAGCCGCCGAGTCTCTCTCACGGTTACCTCACCGCTCTTCCGCGACCCTGCCCCATTCACACGCTCCTTTCCCATCGTCCCCTTAGCTCCCTCCCCACCCCCACCTCAGCACCCTCCGGCCTCTCCCTCGCGGTTCCAGCTCCAGACAAGGGCGCCCCCGGCACCTCCAGTTTCCTTGTCACACCAACCCACCCCGGGCTACCTGGTCAGGCCGGGCCGGGGCGGGGCCGCGGGCAGCCTGGAACCCGTTGAGCGCCAACCGACGACTCGGTCTCCAACGAGATAAACACAGCCAGGCTCGATGCTTCCGGCGGGCAGCGGTGCGCGCACGTGCAGTCCGAGCCAAGTTCCGAAGCCTGCCGGGACTTGTAGTCCATCGGCTTCGAGCTGAGGCGCTGAGCAATGGGAAGGTGCTCCAGTAGATTCTACGCATGTGCGGATGTGCCAAAAAAAAAAAAAAACCGCGGGGGTCCCTGGGTGATGTAGTTCTTTGGTTGAGCCGGGGATAAGGGAGGCGGGGGTAGGGGGCGGAGTCGTTGTCCCCTTTCGCGTCCATCATGGGCACTGGGCGGGGCTGGAGGACTAGACGTCCGGCCCGTCGTGCCTCGGCGGAAGTGGCGGTGCGGGTTCGGCCGCGGGCTCTGAGCGGGTGAGGCGCGAGGAGACTTCGGCGCCGACAGTCGGTGGGGTGGGGGCGGGGGTGGGTGGGGAAGCCGTAGCAGGGGCCATTTGAAGGGAGCCCCTGGGGCCTGAAGGGCGTTTGTCAGGTGGTACAGAGGGGAACCCCATTGAGAGGGGAGCAGGGAACGGGTACGCCTTGTCTTGAGGAGCTTGTTTGCCCACCGAAGTTCCCAAGTCAGGAGTGGGGGCGGGGAGGCGGGGTTCTGGAAGGGGGTGTGTTTTGAGAGATGGCTTAGCCTCTGGTCCTGCTGTTAAATATTTAAGAAATGGCCGAGCAAGGCGGTTGGGCCTCGGCTCGAGATAAGAGCCCGACTTAAAAGGTGAAGGGCTCAGGAGATGCTAAGGTGGGTCGGGGTGCAGAAGGTTGAGCGTTTAAATGTTTTGTGGACACAGAAGGAGACCACAAGGAGCTGGATGAGAGGCTGAATGCACAGCTACTTTAACCAGATCCCTCTCCTGCCTCCCTGTTCTTGCAGCCCTTGCCCGGATGGCAGCAGTAGTTCTAGGGGGAGACAACATGGGCCCAGAGCGAATCTTCCCTAATCAGTCTGAGGAACTAGGGCCACACCAGGGCCCCACAGAAGGCACCGGGGATTGGAGCAGCGAGGAGCCTGAGGAAGAGCAGGAGGAAACCGGGGCAGGCCCAGCTGGCTACTCCTACCAGCCCCTGAACCAAGATCCTGAACCAGAGGAGGTGGAGCTGGCACCAGTGGGGGATGGAGATGATGTAGTGGCTGATATCCAGGACCGGATCCAGGTAAGATAGAAGAGGCATTATTCCTGGAGGTGAAGTTGGGATCCTTGAAAGGCTGGCCCTGAACTGTCTTTTCTGGCTGTCCAGGCCCTGGGGCTTCATTTGCCAGACCCACCGTTAGAGAGCGAGGATGAAGATGAGGAGGGAGCCTCGGCATTGAGCAACCACAGCTCTATTCCCATGGACCCAGGTAAAAGGTCATTTTTTTCATTACGGAGGAAAGGAACTGGCCAGAGCCAATAGAGAGGTCAGAGCAATACCCTGTTCCTAAAATGAGTTTGTAATATAATATTTTGCCGACTTCAGAATCCAGGTGAGCCCCAGCTGGTTTGGCATCAGCCTGCGGACTGATGGGTCCTGGGTTTGATTTCTGGTCAAGGGCACATGCCTGGGTTGTGGGCTCAATCCCCAGTCGGGGGCATGCAGTAAGCAGCCGATCAGTGATTCTCATCATTGAGGTCTCTCTCTCTCTCTCCCTCTCTGAAATCAATTAAAAATTAAAAAAAAAAAAAAGAATTGAGGTGAAATGCTATTCTGTTAGACTTGGGGAATGGGCAGGCTTGCCCAGAAATAATAGACAGATTTGGTGATTACTGACCCAGTGGTTCTGGGTTAATTCAAGGAATGGGCAGGGAAGCTGGTCCCATCTTTTCGATCCTCTAATTGGTCTCTGCCTGTGATTTCAGAACATGTAGAGCTGGTGAAAAGGACAATGGCTGGAGTAAGCTTGCCTGCACCAGGGGTTCCTGCCTGGGCTCGGGAGATATCAGATGCCCAATGGGAAGACGTGGTACAGAAGGCTCTCCAGGCCCGGCAGGCATCCCCTGCCTGGAAGTGACCACCTCGAGAGCTGCCTTACCTCCCCGCATTCCACTGGAACCAGCACAGGACTGCACACACCCCTGGTGGTAACGCCCATCTCCTTTCCACATCAAGGCAAATCAAACTTCTTCTCAGAGACCCACTTTATTCAGTCTGTACATATGGGGACATCGGCCCAAGCCCAACCCACCACAGCATGTATCACTCTGGAGAATAAAGCACCCTATGTACACAGCCCCAAGCTGCGCTGCCTGTGCCCCTGGAACCCGGGTCTGGCTCTCCTAAGCCTCCTGCCTCTCCATGGTGCCTGAAAGGGACAAGTGAGGGCCTGCCCAGCATTAGCACAAACAAGGAGAACAAATAGATGTTGGGGGGAGCCATGCTTAGACACTGCTCCCTGTTTCTTTCCTCTTAGCTTGGGGAACCACAAGCACAGGAGAGCAGTCAGCTCCGGGTGGTCCCTTCCATGTTTGTGATCCCAGGGCTGCTGCTCACCAAGGAGGGGGCACAAGGCAGGGTGTTTGTTCATCCCTTTCTCTCGATCCATCCGGGCCTTTATTCATTATCTGCTGTCCATAGCTTATGGGGTTCTCCTTTTGACCTCCCACATAGTCTTGGTCAGGCAAGGGGTAAGAGGAAATAATACAGCCCCTCAGCCTGCACACCGTTGGGGCTGGGGCCTCGTGCTGTCGGGGGTTGGCGCCCCTCCAGCTATTGACTTCGGGGGTCAGTGGGGCTTGGCATAACTTTGGTGAGAATAATCTGCTGCTCCCTGTGTGCCTCTGCAGGGGAGGGAGAGGAGACCCCTGGAGTTCAAATGAAAATGAAGGGGAGAGGAGGAGCATAGGTATTCCTTTGTGTATTTCTCAGAGCAGCCTCAGGTAGCTGTGGGGTTGGGAGCAAGAGGGTACAGGCATCCCCCGTTGTCTGAACACTAAGCATCTCAGTGCTCAGCCTGTCTGTACTGGCCACCAGGAGGCACGAACACATTTTGGGGAGAAGAGGGACCACTCGGCATCCCCGCTTCAAGTGCTGATCACCCTCCCTAGAAGAGCTAAAGAGGCACTGCCTTGCCCCGTGTCAGCCAGTGGGGAGCGAAGGGTGGAGGGCGAGGGCAGCGTCCCAGGGCTGAGCGGGCTATGCCCTGCGGAGGAAACGGGGTCAGAGAGCCTCCTGGCTGGCAGTTAAGAACTCCTCCGCCCGCTTGTGAGCCTCGAGCGCCTTCATGGTGTACACGTCCTGGGGCAGCTCCGACTTCCTCCGAAGCAGCACTTTTTCTTTCTTGATGTCCTTCAGCATCTGTGTGGAGAGGGAGGAGGAGAGGAATGGTGACCAATCCCCAGTGTACTCTATTGCTTCCCCTCACTCCTCGGCTCCGCTGCTCCTGTCATTGCCGCTCCCCTCCCTCTGCGCCCTGCCACCTGCACGGCCTCTGTCTCCATGGTCCTCTTCAGCAGCTGGATGTCCTCTGCTGTGGGGGTCTCTGTCTCCATCGAGTACACAGGGGGCAGCGGGGGCGGAGCTCGGAACATGGGGTACTGGGAGGAAAGGCACGGGCAAGTGGGAGAGCCGCTTCAGAATCTGTGAACCTGTTTGCCTCTATTCCTCCTCACAAACCCTCTCCCCGCTGACCCCTCAGCTCTGGACAGTGGCAGACAAGCCTCACCTGGGGATTGAGTCGGGCCAGCTCCTCGATCTTCTGCCACATCTCTTCTCTTTCCTTCATCCGGAACCGGCCCCTGAGGGAGCGGAGAGGGTGGGGATTGAGTTTGAAAGAGAAGCGAAGGGGGCTGGTGGTGGGCCAGCAAAGACTCTGGGTGGAGACACTCACTTCTGCTTCTCGGCCTTGTATTGTTGTGTGCAGTCATCAAACAGCTTCTGATTCATCTCCATAAACAGCTTCAGGGCATTGTAGATCAGCCCGTGGATTGTCCTGCCGAGGCAGGAAGATGAGGTGTAAGAGGCCAGCGCCTGCCCTGTGCCAGGCCCCACCTGCTCTCTCCCCGAAGGTGTCTCTGCTAAGAGCTTTCTCACTCACTGCTCCTATTTCACAAACCACTCACAGTGTGAGCTCATCTCTCCGGTCAGATCATGGAACCTGCGGTCGGCATTGCGGGGTTTTTACAAATACTGGCCTGCCTGTCCGTCCTTCCTTCCACCCCATGCTCCAAGGTCTTCCTCCTTCCCACTGGCCTAGCCCACAGAATGGCCTCCCAGCGGCATGATGTGCACCTGCACCACAAGGCACGTACTTTTAGCAGGAAAGCCTTTTACAACACTATTCAACACATACTAAGGTCACATCAACTCACAGCATGGAATTAAGTGACCAGAGCGACAAAATGTCTGACTCCAAGAAGAGGTGTGATATAGGCCACCGATCTGCTGTTTGGTATCAGGTCTCTCACATGGCTATCTTTTCTCCCCAATCCTCAAGGTCCTTCCTATCAGCGTACAGTGGCCACCACCCTACTCGCAGTGACCAGATGAGACCATGGGCTCTGTAGGTCTCCCACATCCTCACAGGCTCCAAAACCACAGCCCCCGCAACCCCCTACTTGTTCCAGTGGCTCTTGGAGTTCCTGTAGAGTGCAGGGAACATGATGGGGAGGACCCGGGCAGCATTGTCACTGATCAGGCTCATGATGTACTCGTTGTTCCAGTAATAGAGAGCTCGCTCCGCCACCTGGTGGGGACAGGCAGGACTCGGTGAGGATACCGCTTGCTTTGCTCAAGACCCTCTCAGTTTCTGGGCGATGGGCTGGGATATGCTGGTCTGGATCTCACCTGGAAATGGGGGCTGGAGACACACTTGGCAAGCTGGCGGAAGAGTGGATCCATCACTTTGCTGAACTCTGAAGGCTCAATGACATCCAGAATCTCCTCCAGCTCATTCAGGAACATCACCTCCTTGGGGCTGTGGGTCTTCGGCCAGAACTTGAGAAGCCCCACAATGACCTGGGAGACATGGGGATAGAATTCTCACTCAACACCTGCCTGGCTTTCCAGGAAGTCTTCCGCTGTCCCCACCACACCCCGCAGTGGTGCCCTCAGCTGACTGCTCATGTTTCTCTGACTTGGATCTGTTTCCAGGTGTGCTTAGTTTTTCTTCAGAGAGGAAGCCATGTCACCTGTTGAGCCCCATCCCTCCTGAGCACCTGCTTATGGCACTGCTTCACAGGTACAGACGTACTGCTGACAGATGGAGGTGGACGCTGGGGCTTAGAAAGGACTCACCGGCTCAGTGAGACTGCTCTCCTTCTCCAGAAACTGTACCACACAGTATGCCAGCTGCAAAGGGTTGAGGCAGGAAGGAGGTGAGGTGCAGGGCCCAGCTCTCACGGACATCAGTGACAGAAACAAGACCCCCAATGGGAGAAGAGGCGTAGTCTGGAATTATCCCACCCACTCCCTCTGCCTCCCCATCCAGCTGGAATACCTCCCCTCCCTGTCTTCCCTGCTGCCAGGCTCAGTCAGGGATCGTCAAGAGGAAGCGGCTTACCTGAGGATGGTAGACACTCAGGGACTTGACCTTGTGAAGGGGCAGCAGGACACGGATAAGGAACATCTTGTGCTCTTCCTTGAGGGGCAGGGCGAAGCCGTTGATGATGCTAGGGTTGAGGGAGGTTTGTTAGGACCAGGGAGCCTGGTCCAAGTTCAGGGAACCAACCCTCCCAACTCTTTTCAGGCGTGTGTGGCCCACCCACTCTCACCTGCCCAGGATCTCCAGGAGCTCGGCAATCCCGTTGTGATGCTCCGTCTCATAGATGAACCTGAGGGAAGAATAAAGGGCCTCTTGACAACCTGATGCTCCCCTGAAATCCCCCTCACCTCCCTTCTCCCCCGACCTTAGCGGTACCGCTTTGCTCCTGAGCCTGGCTCCGGACCTCACCTGTAGAAGATGTGGTTGATCTGCCTACGGATATAAGCCCGGAGCCCCAAAAACTTGCCATAGATTCGATGCAAGATGGTCTTGAGGAAGTCCCGCTCTCGAGGGTCCTCACTGTCAAACAGGTCCAGGAGCTGGGAGCGGGCAGGAAGAAAGGTGGCAAGTGAGGCGGGAGCTGAGGCAGGCAGGGCTGGGTGAGGGGCCGCTGGGAGAAGAAGCTCAGGCTCTCTGGAGAGGGGTGTGGGGACAAGGCCCTGGAAAGAGGGATTCTATCACACCGCTCTTAAAGGTGCCATCTGAGTATGCATGTTGCATACTTTGTTGCTTCTTTTGTTTGTTTCCATTATGCTGGAAGCTTCCTGCGGGCAGCATGGGTTTGTTTAACCCTCATAGCGTCCTGTTCGGCCACAGCTGAAACCCAATGTACTCTTAGAAGGAGAAAGAACTGGGACCCGAGGAAGGGATGTGGGGCCGGAGTCCACACACTGGAAGGAGGGGAAGGACAGGAAGAAGGGGACTCACAGCAAGGACAAACTTCTGGTCAATGTACTTCTTGGCTATGTTTGGCTGGAAATCAGGAGACTCCAGGAAACGTAAGAAGAACTCGTACACCAGCTGCGGAGGGAAGGAGCACCCCTTCAGGGGGGATCCCCGGGACTGGGAGAGCCCGACCACAGGCCTGCGCGCCCGGGCCTGGTACCTGGAGGTGCGGCCAGGCGGCTTCCAGGGTGGGCTCGTCCTCCTCTGGGTCAAACTCGGCCCCGGTGGGATTTGACGAGGGTGGCAGTGTCCGGAAGAGGTTCACTGAAAACTGAGGGGTGGCGCCCAGGTGAGAGCTCGCTCTGGCTTCTCCGGGCGCCCACCCTGCCCACTTCCCCTTTCCCTGCGCCCACCATGGTGACAGCCTCCGGGTAGATGGCCTCGGTGACGACATCGCGGCTGTGGGTGATGTACTCCACCATTTCGTTGAGTCCTGCCCGCTTCACCTCCTTGAACTTGAGGTCGCTGAGTGGGTCTGACACAAAGTCAAAGAGGACGCAGCACTGGCGTAGCTTCTGGATGAACAGCTCCTCCCGCTCCTGGGTTGGCGAATCTAGAGAGGCCGGCAGTCAGGTTCCCTCCCCGTCCTTCACTGCCGTGCCCTATGGCCTCATGGGGCTTTCCCCGACCCTGTCCCACTCCCCTGGCACCCTCAGGCCCCAATGGAACTCCCCTCACATTTGCTAGAACTCCCATCCCCCTCCCATCCCCACCTCCCAAATAACCAAAACCACCCAGTGCCCCCAAGCCTGTGCACCAGCCCCGTGACCTCCTCCAAGTACCTTTCAGGGCAGGAAGCTTCTGCAGCTCCCGGTTCTTGCTGAGATTGAAGCGGGAGGAGCTCTGCCGTCGCTCCTTCTTGACGATCTGCGGGCCCCCTGAGTACTTGATTTTGCTGAGCTGCGTGGGGGGCGGCGTGCTGTTGCTGGGGCGCTTGTTGGATGCCGGTGGCTGAGACTGCGGCTGCGGCTGCGGCTGGGGTTGCGGCTGCGGCTGGGCCTGGTCAAACAAGTGAATGTGGAGGTCCCTTCCCCAAGCTCCCCGATGTCTCCCACGGTGAACTTGAGCGTGCGTGCTTACATACTACAGGTGGTGGGTAACCTGGCCACCCAGGCCCGGGCCAGCCTCCATCCCCAGCCCGTTTATGTCCCCTGCCCTGAAGGAGCCAGGGCCAGGGTCAGAGACGCCTATGGTTATTGGTTACCCCCGGGAGTGACCACAGAGTGAAGTCTCACAAAGTGATGCTCAGACCCTTCAACACGTTCACTCCAGTTCACGGGTTACAGTGGGGGCGAACAGAGAAACTAAGTCATGGGTGATGGCAACAGAAGTCAGAAAAGAAGCTATCTTTCCAGGGCCTCGCTGGAGGTGGTGAGGGGTGGTGTGTGAGCACTGACTGAGAAAGGGCAGGAGGAACCTTCCGCGTAATGGAAACATTTTTTATCTGTGTGCGTGTGTGCGTGTGTGTGTGTGTGTGTGTGTGTGTGTGTGTGTGTTTCAGAGAGGAAGGGAGAGGGAGAGATAGAAACATCAATGATGAGAATCATTGATGGGCTGTCTCCTGCACGCCCCACCACTGGGGACCGAGCCCGCAACCAGGAAAGTGCTCCTGACTGGAATCAAACTCGGGACCCTTCAGTGCAGAGGCCGATGCTCTGTCACTGAGCCAAGCTGGCTAGGGTGAAACATTTTATATCTTGACTGTATCTGGGAGATAGTTCATAGCATATATACATGTAAAAATTATTGAGCAGACACCTAAGATTACTGTACTGTATGACTTTACTGTATGTATGACATTCTTCCATTAAAAGTTAAAAGAAATTCATTCCCAGGTCTCAGTTTAAATACTAGAAATATAGCTTAAGAAAAATCCTAAATATAAAAAAAGTCTTTGGCCCTGGCTGGTGCAGATCAGTTGGTTGGGTATATCCCATGTACCAAAGGTTGCTGTTCAATTCCCAGTGAGGACATATGCCCAGGCTCTGGGCTTGATCCCCAGTGGAGGGTGTGTAGAAGGCAGCCAATTGATGTTTATCTCTCCAACATTGATGCTTCTCTCAATCTCCCTCTCCCTTCCCCTCGCTCTAAAAACACACAAAATTTTCAATTTAAAAAAGAGGCTTTGGCCTTTTTATACTTTTTTACAGCCTTATTTATAATAGCAAATAAATAAATGGGCTGTCATGGAGTTAAAATCATGTTTATAAACTATGTACTAAATGTAATCATCCATGGGTCAGCTGTAAAAAATATTTACTCAATGACAATTATTTACCCAAAATTGGTGATGAGAAGTCTGAGAAGAAGGGAGATGTCTGCAGAGGTATAAGACACTGAGGTTTCATTTCCCACAGTACAGTCAATACATAATATCAAAATCGCAAAATCGCAAAAATTTTTAAAAAGCAGTAACAGAATCTTATTTGGAAATACAGAAGTCACTCTCCACGGAAAGTGGCTGCCACGGAGCAGCGGGAGAGGAGCCTGGGAGGGCTGCCCCGACATTGCAGCCCACGCACTGTCTGACTTTCTGAACAAGGTACATGTTCCTGCTGATCACAGTGATGAAAACGTAAGATAAAACAAAAACTAAAACTAAAACTACGTGATGACAGAAAACTGCTTGCTATGCTAAGCAAAAGAAGGGCAGTACAAAACTGTGTACATGCGAGCTCCCTGACAAAGCAGCACACGGCGCCCGAGCCGGGTGAGAGGGAAAGGACGGGAGAGCCACCGCCGTGGCCAGGCCTGTCTCCTGCGGGAGCAGAGTGACAGGTGACTTCTCTACATTTCGTGAAGACAGCTGCCTTTTACAAACTATCTCCTCACCTCCGCCTAGACAAGGGTGTCAGGGCCTCACAAAGCCCATTCTCTTTTTTAAATATATTTTTATTGACTTCAGAGAGGAAGGGAAATGGAAAGAGACAGAAACATCAGTGATGAGAATCACTGATTGGCTGCCTCCTGCATGGCCCACACTGGGGATCCAGTCTGTCACCTGGGCATGCGCCCTGACCGGGAATTGAACCATGACCTCCTGGTTCATAAGTTGATGCTCTACCACTGAGCCACAGCGGCCGGGAAGCCCATTTTCTTTTTTAAAACAAACATGTTTTTATTGATTTCAGAGAGGAAGAAAGAGGGAAAGGGGAGGAGAAAAACATCACTGATAAGAGAAAGTCATTGATAGGCTGCCTCCTGCATGCCCCCTAATGGGGATTCAGCCCACAACCTGGGCATATACCCTGAATGAGAATTGACCTTCTGGTTCACGGGTTGATGCTTAAACACTGAGCAACACTGGCTGGGCTTTTTTTTTTTTTTTTTTTTTTTTTTTTTTTTTAAATATGTAACGCTTCATGAATTTACATGTCATCCTTGCACAGGGTCATGCTAATCTTCTCTGTATCGTTCCAGTTTTAGAATATGTGCTGCCGCAGTGACACGAAGCCCATTTTCAGCCTACACAGACACATGCAGGGCTGTCCACCCACAGGTACCATCCAGGTCCCCCTGCTGGGAGAGGAGAGAGGCTGGCCAACCGGAAGTTACAGTAGGACCAGAGAGGTGAGGCCATGTCAGCTGGGTACCCCAACCACAAGGAAGTTGTCCCCCTGTCCTCATACCTGCCATCCCCACCTCCTCTCCAGCCTCCTCCACAAACTCTTACTTCATACAATAAGAATTCGAAAATCTGAAAGCGTCTGAGGGAGGGGGAAGGGAGGAAGACAGAAATGTTATGCTTTGTAAGCTCTGAATTTGAAAAAAAAAAAAAAAATTACTGATTTTGAGAGAGAAAGAAATATCGATTTGTTGTTCCACTTATTTTTGCATCATCCAGTGATGAATTCTTGTATGCGCCCTGATCAGGGACTCGAACCCACAACCTTGGCATGCTGGGACAATGCTCTAACCAACCAAGCTACCCAGCCAGGGCATAGGCTCTGAATTTTTTATAGAAACAACTATGTCGAGCTTGTGACCTCTGTGGGGATCAGAGAACAAAGGGGCAGGGTCCAGCCCAGGGGAGCCCTTGGGTCCAGTGTAGCTTTGCCCTCTGGCCCTCTCCTTTGCCTGAATCGACAGCCCGACACCAACTGGATGAGAGGACGGTAAGGAGGTGGGGCAGGAGCAGCCACCACACACTTCTCCTGCCATGACCAGCAGACTTGGGCCTGACTGCCTGGGTCTGACTCCTGACTCTGCCATTAATTAGCTAAAAGCCATACAGTCTCTTGATACCTCAGTTTCCTCATCTGTGAAATGGGGATGATATTAGTATCTATTTTTTAAAATCTTATTTCTTGATTTTAGAGAGAGAAAGGAAGGGAGAGAGGGAGGGAAGAAGGGAAGGAGGGAGAGGAAGAAAAACATAGAGGGAAGAAGAGAAACACTGATTGTGGAGATCGAACCAGCAACCTTGGGGACAATGTTCTAACCAATTGAGCTACTAGGCCAGGCCAATAGAAATTACTACTATTTCCCACCCTGCAGATTTTAGGAATGCAGCCTGGAAATTCCTGAAACTAGCACACTTCAAATGTTCCTCAGAGTCTATTATCCTCCTTATTTTAAAATGGGGCACCCTAACCGGTGTGGCTCAGTGGACAGAGAGTCGGCCTTTGGACTGAAGGGTCCCAGGTTCGATTCTGGTCAAGGGCATGTTGTGAGCACATTCCCAGTAGGGGGTGTGCAAGAGGCAGCTGATCAATGTTTCTCTCTCATTGTTATTTCTAACTCTCTATCCCTCTTCCTTCCTCTCTGTAAAAAATCAATAAAATATATTAAAAAATAAAATAAAATGGGGCATTGCATCTTTCAAGACCCAGCTAAGTCCCACCTTTTCCCAAAAAGCCTTCTCATTCCAGGCCTTGGGCATCCATGTCCTTTCCCCAACTGGATCTGTGATCATCCCTAGTGACACCTCTTACTTAGTCTGTTCAAGTGTCATTCCCCTACGGGACAGCAAGTCCGGATGGGGCCACAGGGATCAGGCCTAAACCGGCAGTCAGACATCCCTCTGGAAACCTCTGCACCGCTCTGGTCCTCTCAGCACTGGCAGCGAACAGGCAGCTAGCAAATGCTTGGTTGGCTGACTGACTGGGGGCCAAACCCAGGCCCCTCCCCACAGGGCTTTCCTGTCCCGACTGCACCCTCAGAACAGAGCCCTGGACGGTGGCAGAGCAGAGTGGGAGGGAGAAAAGGTGGTGACATGAGGGTGAGGGCCTTTGTGGCAGCTAGAAAACAAAACTCAGGAGAAAAGGTCTCTCTCCATCCTCCGAGACCAGATGCAGACACCCTGCACCTCTGTGAACCTCACACCGAGGGGGCACCCAGAGAACGGAGGCATTCCTTCTCGTGAGGAGGAGGGTGGGACTAGATCAGTGTTTTCCCAACTATTCTCCATGTAGGTGTCAAGAGAAGAGAGGGCTGCATGGCGAAAAACCAGAGTTTAACAACAAGCCCGGTTCTGTAAGGCCGCCGGCTCCCAGGCCTCAGACATAAGAAGCGTCGGAGAGACAGCTGGCCCAGCCAGCAAAGCCCCGGCTGCCAAGCCTGGGTGAGGCGTCTCCGGGCCTGTGCTTGCCAGAGGGAGGTATGGGATATGCCAGCAACACCCTTCACGTGCAGCACTTTCTCCTGAAAGCGCCAGCGTCTGACTTCTCCACCGACCTGGGCTGGAAGTGGGAGGCAGGTGAGCCTGGGAGCACCTTCTGCAGCTTTCAGAGCATTACTGGGCGCCGACCACAGGCAACGTGGCCGACCTGCCTTGCACGCCTCCTGTGTCCTACCCGGTCCCACCGCTGAGCCTCTGCAGCGGCCGTCTCCTCTCCCTGCGGCATCTTCTCCTCCTACTTCTAAACTCCCAATAGGATCCAAACTCCAGGAAGCTCTCCTAGGTTCAGGCCTCCTTTGGTTTACGCACCCCTCTCTCCTACTCGGTATATATTGCAACTGTATTTGTTCATTCTGAACCATTGCAGGCCCAACCGAAT